CCCAAAAATATTAAAATGAGACACTGAAGATCAGATGACATTTATTAATTATGCATTGATTTTACATCTCCACAATAACAAAGCAAACCTCTGGCAATACTACTAAAATGGTTGAAAAGCTTTTGCATATGTCCTCCCCATCCTCTTTCCATTTTTGGTGGCTGCATCATATCTGTACTTTTTTCTAACCTTCAGCTTTATTTTGCTAAGTTTATTGGTCATCTCTAGTCCTTTTATTCATCTAAATGAATCTTGTTCCACCAGTCCTTCTGTTCAACTAAAGTTTATTCTTTAGGGGGCTGGTATATTGGCACAATTGGCTAATCATCCAAGTGCCAGCATCCCAGCTGTTTTGTATTCTGGTTGCTCCACTTCCCACCTAGCTCCCTGCTTGTGGCCTGGGAAAGCAGTGGAGGAGGGACCAAAGCCTTGGGACCCTTCATCTATGTGGGAGACCCAGAGAAAGATGCTGGCTCCTGGCTTCAACTTGGCTTAACTCAGCTCTGGCTGTTATAGTCATTTTGGGGAGTGAACCAGCAGATGGAAGTTCTCTTTGTCTCCTCTTGTAAATCTGACTTTCCAATAAAAATAAATCCTTTTTTTTTAAATGAAGGTTTATTCTTTTTGAAGATTCCTTAGTAGTAGTGTTTGAAAATATCTCATTTTTTACATTCAGTAATAGTTCATGACTTTATAGTCAAACAAATTTTGTTACATATAAAATCTTTTATTTATTCCTCGAGTATCCTTATTAGTAGTACAATGCTTTTATGCTACAAGGTAATGCTATTGAAAAAGATGACCTGATTTTCTTTTGCTTTATATTAAGTTACAGGCTTTTAAAATGTTTTTAAAAATATTTTCAGTATCGGGATTTTGGAGTAAACATTCTCAGCCCAACTTTAACTTTTTGTTTCAAGAGTATCTTTTTTTTTATTTATTGGAAAGTCAGATACACAGAGAGGAGGAGAGACAGAGAGGAAGATCTTCCTTCTGATGATTCACTCCCCAAACGAGCGCAACGGCTGTTACTATGCCAATCCGAAGCCAGGAACTTCTTCCGGGTCTCCCACACGGGTGCAGGGTCCCAAGGCTTTGGGCCGTCCTCAACTGCTTTCCCAGGCTACAAGCAGGGAGCTGGATGGGAAGTGTAGCTGCCGGGATTAGAACCGGCGCCCAAATGGGATCCCAGTGCTTTCAAAGAGAGGACTTTTAGCTGCTAGGCCACGCCAGCGGGCCTTCAATATATGTTTAATACTTACACTTTCCTCTTGCTTTAATTTTCTTCTTCAAAGACTACTACTATTCATATGTCGAATCTTTGCCTTCATTATTTGTCACTTCCTCCTCACTCTTCCACATTTAAAATCTTTGTTTTATATAATTTGATGTAAAATTTTCTCATTTTTTTTCTAGCGTATCAATATTTGAAAACATGCTTCTCTATTTTTATTAACATGGTTTACATACCATATAATTCTCCCAGTTAAAGTGTACAATTCTATGGTTTTAATATATTCAGATGAACAAGCAAACATTATGCTCAGTATGAGAACACTATTGTAATTTCAAGAAAGACCCTCTATACACTTTGGTATACCCTTATACCCCATAAACAATCACTTTACTTTCTGCTGCTATAACTTTTCTGTTTTACATACTTCATACGAATGAAATATATGTGGTATTATTTTGACTGGCTTTTTACTCACCTTTTAAAAGATTTATTTTATTTTTATTGGAAAGTCAGATTTACAGAGAGGAGAAAAAATATCTTTAATCCGCTGGCTCACTCCCCAAGTGGCTGCAACAGCCAGAACTGAGCTGATCTAAAGCCAGGAGCTGGGAGCCTCTTCTGGGTCTCCCGCACAGGTTTAGGGTCACAAGGCTTTGGGCTATCCTCTACTGTTTTTTCAAGCCACAAGCAGGGAGATAGAGGGGAAGTGGAGCAGCCAGACAGGAACAGGCACCCATATGGGATCCCAGCATATGCAAGGGGAGGACTTCAGCCCGTGTGCTGCTGTGCCGGGCCCTTTCTCACTTTTTGGTAAAGACTTTATTTTCATTTGAAAGGCAGAGTTACCAAGAGAAGGAGAAACAGAGACAGAAGTCTTCCATCTGCTGGTTTACTCCCCAAATGGTTATGATGGCCACAAGACTCAAGTCAGCACCAGTACTGGATGTTGGTGCTGAAGGTGGAGGCTCAGCCTATTATGCCTTTGTGCTCGTCCTACTCAGTATGCTTTTAAGCTCCATATAAGCTGTAGCAAGTTTCAGTTTTTCAATCCTTTTAACAGCTGAATAGTACTCCACTGTATGGACACTGATGAACACTAGGAGTACTTTTGTCTTGTGGCCTTATAAATTATACTATAGCAAACAGAAAGCATGTATTACCTAATTGGGGACTGGGCATCAGAAGGCAGACATACTTTTGAATTTCAGATAGATCAAGCTGGCATTTTGTTTTGAGAACTAACAAATTGGCAACCTTGGTTGAAGCTATCTTTAGGATAAAGTTACAATGAAAATAGCAAGAGCTTACGATGGGTTGAACTTTCACTTTTATAATCTACTAGCTACAACCGAAACTGCTGTAGACTATATAGCCTGGTTCACTTACCCAAAGGTCTGTAACTATCAGTAGATTCTGTGTGAAGATGGCTCAGGATAAGCTTATATAAAGAAGGTGGCTCAAGAAGCAGTTGTAGCCAATTACTAGCTATAATAATGAACGAAGTATTCAAAAATGTGAAAGCTCTTCGCATGTTCTAAAATGGTAAGGTAAAAATTGAGGTTCAATATTGACAAAATAAACCCCAATCATCTTACCTTGGATGTATTTCTCTGATTTTTTTATACTCTGTCACAGACAAAAGGGGACCCCAAAGATGTCAATACTCTGATTCCTGCAGCCTTTGAATATGTTAGGTTACTAGGCAAAGGGACTTTGAAATCTTAACAAGAGAACACCTTGGATACAGGAATGGTCTATTGTAACCACATGAGTCCTTAAAAGCAGTGAACTTTGTCAGGGTAGGGTAGGAACAATGCAGATTCAGAGCTTTACAGCTCAAAAGACTCAATCCATCAGTGCTACAGCAGAGAAAGCGGAGAAGTAATCCAAGCACTTTCTATCAGCAAATCCTTCTAGCTGACAGTAATGATGTGATGAACCCAGCCCTATAACTTCAAAAAAATTGAATTCTACCTAGAATCTGAGTGGTGTTGCAATAGCAATCTTCTCTAAAGCTTAAGAACCAACTTGATTTCAGCCCTACAGGGCTTTCCACAGAAGAAGTAATTGAGCCATGGAAGTATGAAATCAACAATGGCTGATTTTCAAAGCCACTACATTTGTAGTAATGTATTCTGGAAGCAACAAAAAATAAACAGGCACACACATATATACAACATTTTTTTTTGCAAGAATATTTTTCAAGTGAAGTAAGTTTGAGAATAATTCTCTTTCCTCATTGTAAATGTGATATGGGAGTCCTTTGAATTCTTTGCTCAAAAATAATAGATAAAACTTATACTTCTATCTGTACCCACAGAGTATATAGCCACATTCAGTGGAAGACTCCAAAGTTCTTCTACAACATACTAGAATGGAGAATGATTTTTCAGTGAGTTCATGCCTATAATAGGAAGACCAATTATCTTGAGAGTCTACTAGGAACAACAGGGTAGGTATGGGTGGTATGGAAATGAGTCAGATGGATGAGGAAGACAGTGATGTTGATTCCTAAGGGTTCTAGTAGGCTGACTAGATACAAGGCAATTCTAGGAAGACAGACAGAGAAATACTAAAACTTGGGGAATATCCAAGTGGTGTTCAGGAAGTAACTGGGCATTGAAAGCTAAATCTTGGCTGATTTTCAAATCAAAGACTCGAATTTGGAAATAATGAACATGTACGCAAGAAAACAGAGTGAGAGAAGATTACCCAAAAGATGCTTACAGTGCTTCATTTGCTTTAAAATATAAAAAGTGAATGAAGAAAAGTTACATACAGGAAGCAACAGAAAGGTGATTCATTTGCTTCTAATAGCTAGAAAGGGCTGGAAGAAAGAGAGAAAAGGAAGGGAAGTGAAAGATGACAAAGATGTTGGCTATGTACAGTTAACTGATACATTATCCCTAATGAATTATTTTAAAAGGTTACACATGGTCTCTCTCAGAAGGAAAAAGTGAGTAGGCAAGAAGGCATCAAGCCAGAGAAAGTTCCTGTTGCTTCCCAGAGAGCTGCTGCAGCTCAGACAACTAGAGTCCTATTAGGGTGTATGACTAGGAAGGGGGCATTGATTATGAGGAGGGAGGTACAGGAAAAGTGAGAGTTCAACTCACCATTTGCGCACAAGGAGGTTCACAAGCTGAGTATTTTAAGGAATGTTAATACTGTATTCCTCAAGTAGACTTTTCATTCAAAGAACACTTAGCTGTTTAAAAAAATCATTTACAGAAATGAGAATTCCAGTTATCCCCAATTTCTGTGACAACACTGCTGGTATAGTGGGTTAAGGCTGAAGAGTCCAAGTTACATTATGCACTAGACACCAATGCATTCAACTCAGTTGCCTTATAAAAAAACATGGAGTGACTTTCCTTGATATGTTTTGCTAAATCCCAGTTTGAGAACGCACCTGAAGGTTGCACACAGCAGCAGGGAGACAGTAAGCTGCTCACACACCCAGAGGCTGGGAGAGCACTCTGCTGAACTGCCAGCTGTGGAGAAGCTGCCAACCATGGAAAGAACCATCAAGGACAGAATGTTCTCATGATTCCTGCTGGTCTAGATGTGTTCAAAAAGAATGAAAATTTAACCTCTTGCAAAGCTCCAAATGGTTAATTTAGACCATGGCACCAGAAGCTACACTTTCATTTTTTCCTAATGCCTTTAGTTTTGACTAAGAATCAAAACAGCTGTCAAGTTTCTCTTAAGTTCTCCAATATAGCTAGTACAATGGTGTATGTATGTCTGAAATGTCTTCAGTTTCTTTTATAGTTGCCTTCTTTATTTCCCTTAAGGTACTGGCCCATTATTGTTGCAGCAACTGCATTCCTAAACAAGGATCAAAAAGTACATAAGTCCAATTTTATTTTTCCCTGCATTAGTACCAGAAACACACATAACAATGTTTGGATAACTTAATAAGTTAAAACATTCCCTGTTTTAGTATCAATAACAAGGACATGAATGATCCATTTCCTGAGTTAACAGTGCAATGTAAAATTTAATCTGTATTGCTAATAAGACATTTTACAGCATAGAAACATGATCAAAGTGATCATTTACTTTATCATGTAATAAATACAAGTGTTTATTATACAACAGTGATAAGATTTAACTGGTAAAGAAATTTAACAAAGAATCCTATATTTGTTACCATGAATATCAGTAGTAAAATAAAATGAAGTACAAAATAAAGCCAAGAAGTTATCTAGACTGAAGAAAGCAGTTGATTTCATTTAAGAAATGGAAGCCTGGATTCTAGTTAATATTTCATATACACAAAAATTTTCTCTTAAAAAACCCTAAGCCATCACAAATTTAGGTAACCCAGTTGAACAAAGGACAACGACAGGTCTTCATTATGCTGTAAAACTATGGATCTCATCTTTGGAAAAGTTAAGGTCATGCAGCAACCTGAAAAACAACAGAAAGCACAAGTTTCTTATGAAAAATGCTAAAAAACAAGTAAGATTAAAGGTTACCTCATAAAGTACTTTTGCATTTTCCCTTTTTGGTATATACATTTTTAAAAAACACAATTATCATTTCTAAAAATAATTCCTAAACATTATCAAATATCTTCTGAAGTGCTCATATAATTTTAAAAGATATTTGTTGGAAAGGTAGTTTTACATAGAGGAGAGCCAGAGATCTTCCACATGCTGGTTCACTGCTCAAGTAGCTGCAAAGGCCAGAGCCCAGCCAATCAGGAGCCAGGAGCCAGGACTTCTTCTCCGTCTCCAATTTGAATGCAGGAGTCCAAGGCTTGAACCATCCCCCAAAGCCTTTCCAGGCAACAAGCAGAGAGCTGGATGGGAAATGGAGCAGCCAGGACTTGAACCAGGACCCATATGGGATGCCAGTACTGCAGGCTGAAGCTTAACTCACTATGAACGGTGCAATCCCAAGAATACAGTATGTTGTCGAAAGTCACATGTTCATTTGTTGAATCTCTCACTGTCCTCATTTTGCTAGGACACTATGATATTCCTTAACACTATATTCCTACATAGTTTTCTTAAAATTTAATACTTGGAATGACAGGTTTATCAATACTTTCTGACAAGATTGTTACATGTACTGCTCTTCCATCAGCTGGTGTCTAACACATGGCGGTTGTTTTTTTGAGATGCTAGAAACCACTGATCTAAGTATAGATCTAATAATTCATCAGGAACTGAATTTGGTGATATTCTGTTTTTGTCATTATTTCATTAATCAGGTTGGGACTACTATATTATTAAACATATAACTCCTGCTCCTTTACCATATGGCTACTTTTATGGCTCATACAGAAAAGACAGAGTAACTTTTCTCCCCTCTTTTTCATCACTTTTTTTAAAAGATTTATTCATTTTTATTGCAAAGTCAGATATACAGAGAGGAGAGACAGAGAGGAAGATCTTCCATCTGATGACTCACTCCCTCAGTGACTGCAACAGCCAGAGCTGAGCTGATCTTAAGCCAGGAGCCTGGGACTTATTCTGGGTCTCCCACATGGGTACAAGGTTCCAAGGCTTTGGGCTGTCCTCAACTGCTTTCCCAGGACACAAGCAGGGAGCTGGATGGGAAGCAGGGCCGCCAGAATTAGGAGTAGATCCCCATATAGGAACCTGGAGCATGCAAAGTGAGAACTTAGGCCGCTAGGCTACCAAGTCAGGCCCTTGACCACTTTCTTCTTCTTTTTTCTTTATTTATTTAGTTTTATTGCAAAATCAGATATGCAGAGAGGAGGGGAGACAGAGAGGAAGATCTTTCGTCCGATGATTCACTCCCCAAGTGAGCAAATAGCCAGTGCTGTGCCAAACTGAAGCCAGGAGCCAGAAACTTCCTCCAGGCCTCCCATGTGGGTGCAGGGTCCCAGGGCTTTGGGCCATCCTCAACTGCTTTTCCAGGCCACAAGCGGGGAGCTGGATGGGAAGCAAAGCTGCCAGGATTAGGAGCGGTGCCCACTTGGGATCCTGGGTGTGCAAGGCAAGGACTTTAGCCGTTAGGCTACTGTGCTTGGTCCTTCACCACTTCTCAAAAGAAGGAAGGAGAGACACAGAGAGCTGTTCTATCTGATGGTTCACTGCCCAAATAGCCACAATGCCTAGGCGTAGGCCAGTCTCAAGCCAGGAAAATGTTCCTCTTGGTTGCCCACATGGTCACAGAGGCCCAAGGCCCCAAACTATCCCTCTACTGCTAACAAGTAGGGAGCTGGATTGAAAATGGAGCAGCTAAAACACAAACCAGTACCCATATGGGATGCCGATTCCATAGGAAGAGGCTTAGTTCACTGTGTCATGGCACCAGACCCCATTATTTCCTTTTAAAGGTTTATTTGTTTAATCTGAAGAGCAAAGACACAGAGAGAGAGAGAGAGAGAGAGAGAGAGAGAGAGAGAGAGAGAGAGAAGAGAAGAGAGAATGAGATGTCTTTGAGAGAGAGAGGAGTGAGAGTGTGATGTCTTTCATCTGCTAGTTCACTCCTCAAGATAGCGGCAATGGGAAAGGCTAAGTCATGCCAATGCCAGGAAGCCAGAACTCTAAAGGGGTCTCCTATGTGGGTGGCAGGCGCCCAAGGACTTGGGTATCCTCCCCTGCTTTCCCAGTCATATTAGGAAAGAGCTGGATCAGAAGCAGAGCAGCCAGGACATGAACCAGTGCTCCCATATGGGATAATAGTACTATAAGAAGTAGCTTAACCACTACATGACAATGCCAGCCTCAGTAACTATTATTTAGTGCTACCATACTGCATGCAGTCACTGTGTTAAGAACTTTACTATTGTACATGCCTTGTTGCAGATGAGTGCACTACATAGCTGGCCCTCACACATCCAGTGGAAAACGACTGCTAATGATAGACTCAGCCCCCCAACTGGAAACTTCTGGAATATGCATACATATTCACAAAAGGATCTATACAGCAAAGGAGTGTTACAGCCAACTAGATGCTGCAGTCAAGCCACCATGTGAATAAACCTCTTTCTAGCCATTCATCCTGTCTCCCCCAGGCAGGTGGTTTCTCTCTAGTCAAACAAATCTAGTCTTTTGAATGCCTGCAGCCTAGATGCCTCTGCTCATTTTGTTTCCTTTCTACCTCTTCTGACTTGTACCGTTTTAGTCATTCAACAAAGGGCTGGTCTTTTTATGATGCAATGTAAACTCTCACACAAAAGTAACACATCTCTCTCTGAACTTCCACAATTTTGTTTCCTGTTTCTCCCTCTCCATAAATCTGCCTTCCAATATTTAAAAATATTTAGTTTATTTTAAATAAAAGCATATTTTAAAAAAGAATTTTTCCTCTTTTGTATGAACATTAATATTCTGAATCACAATTTAGCTGTTGGTATGTACAGTAGTTTCCATACTAGACAATGTGGTCCTTAAAAGCAGGCTATTTCATTCAGCTCTAATAAAAGGAGTTTTTAGTAGGTGAGAGAATTATTATTGTCCAAGTAATTAAACATTATTTGTCTGCATTTTTAACAGGTTTCCGTGCCCTGCTGACACATCAGATAAGTTGACAGATGTTCAACAAAATACAAAGAGTATGTTTGAAATGATTATGCACATAAACTATCAGGCAGACAGCAGGAGGGTCCTACAAGTGGATATCCAATAGTTTCTTTTTGTAACAGCAAAACTTTGTCAAATAAAGGATCCATGTGGCAATTATGAAAGCTAAACTACATCCACTAAGATGGTGAGGACAGGGGAATCAAATGGATCCTCAACCCAATGCCACAGCTAGATGCTTTGAACTATGGCACTGATATGAATAAACGACATGTCAAAGGAAACTCTGTGCTAAACGTTTAAGGATGTGTAACAGTGGGTTTCTACTGTTGATGACTGACAGTATTCCTGGGAAATTCCTGGCTAGTGTAGCACTGCAATGTTAGTTCTGAGAAGAAACTGAGAAAAGCAAAACATAAAGAGACAATTTATAAAAATGAAAAAATATTAAGGTTTGAGCTACTCTCTATTCTATGTATATATTCTCAGACTCCAGGATGCAAGGAAGTGGGTAATACTTGTATAAAATCAAAACAAGGAAGACAGAGACCTTGTCTTCAAGAAGCCTGTAATTCATTTGAGAAAATCTAGCTACATTAAGGAGGTTACACAACAAACTCCTTCAGAGTGGTACTGAAGAGCTTATGATTCCAATCACTCAAAAGTATTAGACTATAATAAACTTTCACTGAGATATTTCTAAAATAAGCCTTTCTCACCTTTTTTTATAAAAAAAGATTTTATTTATTTTTATTGGAAAGGTAGGCTTACACAGAGAAGGAGCGAGAGAAAGACCTTCCATCCACTGGTTCACTCTCCAAATGGTGACAACAGCTAGAGCTGAGATGATCTGAAGCCAGGATCCAGGAGATTGGTTCCATCTCTCCCTTGGGTGCAGGGGCCCACGGACATGGGCCATCCTCTACTGTTTTTCCAGGCCAAAAGCAGGGAGCTGGATAGAAAGTAGAGCAGCCAGAACACAAACTGGCATTCGTTTGGGCTGTTTGCAGGTGGAGGATTAGCCAACTGAGTGCGTGTGCTGGCCCCCAGTATAATAGTGTCATGACAGTAGGTGACAGTGCAGCTCTTAACCTTTTTCTAAAATAATTTATATCCAAATCATAGTTAACCCTGACTATAATTTTTTTGCTTGAGTCTTAAAGAAATAAAAGTTCAGAACTAAAAAAAAAAAGGCTGACAAGCGCTCACTACAATATTTTTCTGAAATATTAAAACTGTAAATATACTTATGTTTAATTAAGATATATCTTAGAAATTATTTTTAATGACTTTATATACTTTCCAGAACGAATTCCATAACTAAACTGCCCCACTTCTGATACAGCTCCCTGCTAAGATACCTGGGAAAGCAACAGAAGATGGCTTAAGCTTTTGGGCCACTGGTACCCATGTGGGAAGCCTTGATGGAGTACCTGGTTCCTGGCTTCAGCCTGGCACAGCACTGGCCATGGCAGTCATCTGAGGAACAAAAGCAGCATCTCGAAGATCTCCTTTTCTCTCCTTAACTTTATCTTACAAATAAATGAATGAGTCATTTAAAAAAATAAAACAAAAACAAAGTTGAAAGATATAAAATTATTCAGGAAATGTTAGATTCAGTCATTCACACCAAGTACAAACAAGGGTTTAACACAAACATGTTTTAAATCACCTAGAAGCACAAAGGTAACTTTATTTAGTAATATATTTTAAGGTATCATTTATTATTTTAGAGTTAACCATATTAAAGTCAATTGCAAATACTGTAGCCATCCATCACCACTAGTTTTTGTTATTCAGGGTTCAATTATCAGTGTGACCTTATTTATGTCTCAGTCTCACCTTTTGGTCACTATATTAATATATTATATATTATAATATTTTATACATTATATTATATATTAATATGATATTATTATATATTATATTATATATATATATATTTTACCAACTTTCACCTAGTTGCAGAGGATGAAAATGGAAAGTTACAATAAGATGACCACTTTTAGTTAGTTTTTATAAATCATAAAGCATTGGTACAAAAAGATGTTGAGTCTTACATCCCAAATAAAATTATGGCATAAATCTTATAAATCTATCCATATTACCAATCAGCAGCAGACCTGAACTGCTGGCTGTATTTCTTTGTGTTCATACCTAGCACTAGTATAATCCTCGCTCCCAAAGATTTATCTGTATGAAGATTAAAAACTTATTTTTTTTTAAGCTGCAACACAACAAATAAAGTGCAACTTATATGAATGAAAAGTCAACTGCTTATGAGAGACCTTTATTTCACAGTGCTGGGCATTCTGTTTCCTAGCACACTACTACTTACTTTATTCCTTCTTCTGTAAACGGTGTTGGTCCACAAATGCAGATGAGAACTTTGGATTTGTCTAAATTTGCTTTCAAGAATTCAGAAATAAGAGCTGGTGAAATGTGTCCTTGTTTGCCATTCCAATCAGATGTAGGTGTTGAGAGAACAAATTCAACATTAAATCTAGGGAAAAGAAATAATTTTTAAAAAGTCTGTTATTTTAAACATACCACTGTGTTTCAAGTTCAGTAGAACATTCCCCTCACAATCAGAGTAATTAAACATATAAAAATTAGTACATTTGCTAAAAAAATGACTGAAGTAGATTCTAAGCAAAGATTCAATAAAAATATACAGCCAAATAGATATTTACCGAGCCACAGCTTTTAGTTATAGTTATGCAAAATAATGTGACTTCTATTGAACTCATTAGAAAGAGAGATGCAAGGGATGTCAGAGAACTCATTTCCATTTATAATCTTCTCAAGTAAACCACAGGAAAGAGAAATCACCAATGACACGGGCATTTCAATCCTTGTTTCATATCTCTCCAATGATCTGCACATCTTTATGAGCAATTTGACTAAGAACGCTATCTCAAGGCCCTTCAATCCTAACTCAGATCTCTCCGCTTCACACCTAACATTATCAGTGAATGTCACCAGTACTGATTGGCTGCACAAGCCAAAAAGATGGGGTTTATTCTAGAAACCTCTCTCTGACTCTATATCAAATCTGAAGTCCTTGCTATTAACTCAGTTTCTCTCTGTCTTCCCTGTCATTTTGCTGTCCATTCTCTTTCTGCTTTCTGTAGTATTTCTACCACTCTGCAAGCCACATGACACCCCACTTCAGTTCTTAGCTGAAGCATCATTTTCACAGGGAAGCATTACAACTGTAAATAAGCATTCAACAAGATGGTTATTTTATTGTCTACTTTCACATGAAATGTCAAACTCAATGACAGCAGGAACCAGGTCTGCTCTGGCTGTCACACACAGGAGGCTCTCAAATATGTTCCAAAACCAAGGAAAGCAAAAGAAAGGGTACAGAATTAAAATGAGAAGCAACGTTAAATGAAGTGTCACAGTGTAGTGACAGGAGACATTTCTTCTGACACGTTTAGTCATCGGTCAAGTAAATTGTTGGTAAAAATCCACAGTCAATTTGAAATTTGCTATTGTACCTGCTCTGTTAGCTCCAGTTTAGCAAACATAATTAATTCTTAGCATTTATACTGACATCAGAACAACTGCATTTATGCATGTTCCACTGGGTAACTGAGATACTGTTCTGGGCCTGATGACAAGTAAAGCCACGGCCTGCACTGCTGGCATGCCATGTAGGAACAGATTCAAGTCTTGGCTGCTCCACTTTTAACCCAGCCTTCTGCAAGCACACCTGGGAAAACAATGTAGACAGCCCAAATGTTTGGGTCTCTGAACCCAGGTGGGAGACCCAGAAGAAGCTCCTGGCTTTGGATCGGCCCAGCTCCAGCTAATGCTAACTCTAACTGCAGCATTTGGGGAGTGAGGCAGGGGATGCAAGATCTGTTTACTCCCATTCTTTCTCTATATAAGTAATTTTGCCTTTCAAATAAATAAATCTTTAGAATATAAAAATAGAGATGCCATCTGAAGAATAACAGGTGTTGATTACATATTAATCTAAATCTTTTTAAAAAACTGAAGTAATTTATTTCTCTTCTGAAGGGGAAAGGCAATCAATTGTGAGGACATAAACAAGACATGGCTGGTACAGCTGCACACCCTCTTCCTCATGTCATTATTCTGCTTCAGCTGTGTTAAATTCCCTAAAAACTCACCGGTCTGACCCAATAGCATAGACTAAATTAAAAGCATCAACCAAGGGTCCAATACACAGCCTCAGGTAGACATAAAGACCCCAACTCTACATAATCTCTCACATTTCTAATATTCTGTGATCTTAGCTGCAACATTCCCATTTATAGCAGCAATCACTCTACACAAAATAGCTTCCCCAAATACTTTCCTCTGCTAACATGCTTTTCCTTCTAGCACTTAAAATTAAGATGGCTTTGGGAGGCTTCAAAAGGTAGTATTTGCTTAATACTCCATAACAACAGGGTACTTGTTTACCTTGTCCAATACTATTGTACAAGCCTGACTCATATACAAGCGAACAACAACACCTGTTTAATGAATAAAGGAATTTATTTACAAAGAACACATATTGGCTAAAACTAAATTTGTACCTAGAGAACAAAGCCAAGTGCTGGCATCTATTAAATCACATGTAAAAAAGTGTATAAAATTTTAAGTGCATTGTGGGAAGAAGGTTCTTAATCTTTTATCAGATTATTCTAGAATTACATACAAAAAGCTTCCAATCCACTATCTAAAGAAATTTCCTAACACACAAAAGCATTTATATAAAAGAGAGAAAATGTCCCATTAAATTAAAAGAGATGGACATAATTGTGATTAGCCTATCACTGGAATAAAATTGGTAAATATCTAAATCTATATTGAGTTGTCATCTGCCATAAATGACTATTCATAATTTTCATTTTCTAGGACATTAAAAAAAAAAACCAAGAAATCTATCAGTGGCATTTTCTATTGGCATCTAGGGAATGGTGATAACTGAGATTCTTGAAAGAAGCACACAAACTTCTCATGTATCTTGCATTAATTCACATAATGGTCCCAGACTGAATTCAGGCACTTGATGGAGAAAGTGCACAGGTGCCTGCATACAATTTCACGGATTGTAAAGAGGCTGCTGTGCTGCTCTTATTCTTCACTGAGGAGAAGAGATCAAACTGTAGCATAAGTCAGCTCATAATTAAGGTTTTAAGAATTCTTTAATGATGAAATTATAATGATGAGATTATATTAAGATACAGATGATACATGTGGAATGTTCTCTTCTGGATTTTTTCAATGAAGGCCAATTTGCAGTGTGAAACAATTACAGTCTTGAAATACTTGGCATCCTACTTGGGTACATTTAGTTAATGGCCTGAAATTTCAGTTTATGACTTCAAAAATGCCATACAGGATCAGGATGCCTAAAAAGGTTATCTAAAAATAAATTCAGATAGGGCCCGGCGCGGTGGCGCAAGTGGTTAAGTCCTCGCCTTGCACGCCCGGGATCCCATATGGGCGCCGGTTCTAATCCCGGCAGCCCCGCTTCCTTCCAGCTCCCTGCCTGTGGCCTGGGAAAGCAGTCGAGGACGGCCCAAAGCTTTGGGACCCTGCACCCGCGTGGGAGACCCGGAAGAGGCTCCTGGCTTCGGATCGGCATAGTATCGGCCCGTTGCGGCTCACTTGGGGAGTGAATCATCGGACGGAAGATCTTCCTCTCTGTCTCTCCTCTCTGTATATCCGCCTTTCCAATAAAAAATAATAAAAATAAATCTTTAAAAAAAAAAAAAAAAAAAAAAAAAAAAAAATAAATTCAGATAACTCACAAAGTACAAAGCAACATGAAAAGAGAAAGGGCAAAACAACAAACACAAGAATGAAAGAAAAAACATACTTCCAGCGAATCTTTGCAGGCTAAAATGTTAATGACAATATATTAGCTTGTCAAAGAAACTTTAGATTGACAATGATATGAGAAGTTGTGAAATATGTATTTGTTTCCAGTCTAAATCATGTCCAAAGCTAACAGATCCAATTAATTTTCCTCTTCCTATAAGCTACCCAACATGGGCCTACCTCCCCATTTTGACACTACAATTCCAGATAAAATCTTTACATTGATGATTCCTCTCTGCTCATAGATGAGCAGTTCAGAGTACTTGAGGTCATAGACTTTCCTCATTTTTCTGTCTAAAAAAAAATAATAGGGATCACAGGAAAATTTAACTGATCACAGGAGAAACAGCTCATAAAACAAACAACTAACATCTACAATTAGGTAAAACATACATATTATGGAAACATATCTCAAAATGAATCTAATGAAACTTAAGCTGTTAGTAATAATTTCATTAAAAAGGCTAATGTATTAGATAAATTGACACACACTGTGTTAAAAATACTTCTTTAGGGCCCGGCGCGGTGGTGCAAGTGGTTAAAGGTCCTCGCCTTGCACGCCCCGGGATCCCATAAGGGCGCCGGTTCTAATCCCAGCAGCCCCGCTTCCCTTCCAGCTCCCTGCCTGTGGCCTGGGAAAGCAGTCGAGGACGGCCCAAAGCTTTGGGAACCTGCACCCGCGTGGGAGACCCGGAAGAGGCTCCTGGCTTCGGATCGGCATAGTATCGGCCCGTTGCGCTCACTTGGGGAGTGAATTATAGGATGGAAGATCTTCCTCTCTGTCTCTCCTCTCTGTATATCCGCCTTTCCAATGAAAAAATAATAAAAATAAATCTTTAAAAAAAAAAGATTTATATATGTCTAAAAATACTTCTTTAAAATTTCTAAAATACTAAATAAAATATATTTAGAGTAAATCTTTTAAGAAGGCATTGTGGTACACAGTATTTCTCGAACTTACTTACTCATAGAGCCCTTGCAAGCGGACACATAAGCAATTCAAGGAACATATTTGTAAGACAGACACTATTAGAGAAATATCTGGCAAGGAAGGAAAACAGACTAAGAACCCAGATTAGGGATCTACATATCTATGTGAATAGAAGCTGGGGTTTTCTCCTTTTTGGAAGGGGTAAGGGCACACTCTCCCATTTATTTATACTTTGCAATTGCTGGCTTTATTATCTTAAGTGGAAACGGCCCATTACTAGTCCCAGTGTTGTTCCCAGAACAGATAAACAGTCACTAAGGAGCCTGCTAGCACTAAAATGAGATTAGTGTCAGAGTATAATATTGCTGGACCTTATCATGTCCATCTAATAAAAATATTAAGACACAAACTACATTAAAGGTCCTCCAGCAGTCTACCCAGTTTCTTTGATTGTGAAACACAGACTGACATAAAGCTTAATGGTTTTATTTTTAATTATTTCACAATCTTATTGACATAATCTTTTACTTTCAACAAAACTAGACCTGCTTTGTCACTAGGACACTAGGACATTCTGGCCTTCATGTTTTAACACATGCAATCTCACTACCCAAATTTCTTTTCCTCTTCATAGAAATGTTAGTTATTTCCCAAATGTCCACCTTAAAAAGCCCTTCTTCCAGACGTTTTGTTATTCTTCTCCCGCAAAATGCAATGCTCTTTCTTCTCCCTAGACTTCTTGGACAAGTTACTTTGTTCGTTTCAAAGCACAGACTCTGCGGTTCTTGATATACATCAGAACTTTGCGTGCACTAATGTAGTCTTGTTTATTATGTATCTTTGCTTAACAATCAATAATTATACAAATGCTTAAATATCTGCAAATGACTTCTGGCTCAATGAATCATCCTTGTCCTGCATGACTGAATATTTTTCTTTCTTTATGTGCTAATCACTATAATTCCCACCTGCTTTAAAGAAAAATAATGGTCACCAACAGATTAAAATGTGTGGGGATGGCAGTAGGAGTACTTAATTTTTCAGAGGCTATATATGAAAATGCTTAAACACCTTTAGCACACTTTGACCTAGTGATTTCTCAAAGAGTTTTATCCAGATTAAGGAAAAGCTAGAATTCGGACAGAATACAATGCAGCTATTAAAATTATGGTACATTACAGTTTTCAATCAACAATCATTCATTTTGGGTAAAATATTTCTTTTTGTAGGATGCTGTCTTATCTATTGTAGGGTGTTTAGCAACATTCCTGGCCCAAGAACCAAGTGTCAGTAATACCTCCTCCCTCAGTTGTGACAATACAAATGTTTTAGACATAAACGCCACTGAGGCAATGGGCTTCCTCCATGCTGAAAATCACTGGCTGATACTATTCCCCACAATATTACAAACACCTTTTTTTACATTCACAGTCCACTAATAATTAATCAGAAAATTTGTTCAGGTAATATATTTCCATCTTCAAAATCTTTATTACCAAACCTAGCAAAGACAAAACGACTTCAAGATGTGGAAACAGTGATTCAGTTTAGCAAAAAAAAGTAACAGGCTTAAATGTTAACTAAGAATAGGCATGACTAAAAATCACCTAATATTAAACCTGAATGTATACTTCTTCTCATTTATGGGGCACAATAGCTTTTTTGATTTAGCAGGATTGTGAAAATTCAGCAATAAGCCTTTAAAATTTTTTTCTTACTGGAAAGTCAGATTTACAGAGAGAAGGAGAGACAGAAAGATCTTCCATTCACTGGTTCACTCCCCAAGTGACAGCAATGAACCTAAGCCAGGAGCTTCTTCTGGGTCTCCCACATGAGTGGAGGGTCCTAAGGCTTTAGGCTGTCCTCTACTACTTTCCCAGGACACAGCAGGGAGCTAGAGGGAAAGTGGAGCAGTCAGGATACAAACCAGTGTCCATATGGAATCCTGGTGCATGCAATGCGAGCACGTCAGTCATCAGGCTACTCTGTTGGGCCCAGTGATAAGCTTTTAAGAATTCTTTGATTTCTACATAAAGACACAAAATATGGCAAAATTTTCTCATAAATGCTCTATAACATCTATATAAACAAGGTCTTTTGTTTTTTATTGAAGGTCTCACCTGAGTTAACTCAAAAAAGGCCGAAACTCTGGGGGATTGTCAGTTACACAGCCAGCCAGAAATCAGTACCAACCGTGTCTCAACCACAGAGAGCTAAGCCTCTAGGGAAAGGAAAGAACAGACTGGGGAGCAGAGAGACAAGCACAGAAGTGAGCAAAGACAGGCAACAAGAGAAAGAGAGGGCACACAAGATGGAGGGTGGAGGCAGGCAGGCAGGAGAGCAGAACACTACCACTTCCCTCAGCACTGAACTGGCGAGTGCCATGACAGTCAGATATCCAGACGTGAAAAAAAGAGAGTCCTTTCTTGAGTATCCTCAAAGCTCCAGCCTATCCAACCTTATCAACCCAAAATTAATGAAGAACAAAGCAAAACAAAAACAAAGTTGACTTTGTTCAAAGAAAATTGATGTTTAGAGATTGTCCATACACGCCTTTCTGAACAGTTTAATCTAACAATCAAATTTAACCTTTAACAGACTGAAAGTATGCATCTTCACTAAAATAATGATAAATCTCTCTTAAAATTTCAGGAATTTTCTTTTATAAGGAAACTATTGCAAAGGACATCTCTATCAAAACACTGGAGACACTACTTTAAAAAATGAAGACAAAAAGTTAGCTATATCTGCTTACATTATTTCAAATATTTGGTTAGGAAAACAGGAGCTCCTTCAGTAAGAAACCAAACACAAGCACAATGCAAAAATCTGAGGGTTTTCCAGTTCCCAAAGCATCTATATTAATTCCTACAAATCTCACAACAGCATTGTAAATAAATGGGAAAGACATTATTATTTTATTGTGATGATAAAGAGGCCAATGGAACTAACAATTTTTGAATGAAGTTTCAGGCTGGAGAAGAATGCAATAAGAACTATAATTTAGATTTTTCAGCCTCTCAATAAACATTTCTAAGGATTAAAATACTTGAAAATCCTAAAATTTTTCTTTAAGTCATTCTCTAAAATTGTCATTTAGTTAACTAAATCTAGTAAATATTTGTAGGTTTAGGTTTTAAATTTGTGAAGAACAGTAAATATTTCAAGGATAAGTAAGTTCCAGTTATTCTTAATTTGTGAAGCTCGTTTATTAAAAGAGAAAGGGGAATGTTATGGGAGACTACAGGAAGATAAAATCTTAAGAGAGCACAGCATTGTCATACCACAGATATTAAGGAAATCTTCAGAAAAACCTGGAGCTTGTGGGTTAGCTAACTGCATTTTAAAGGGCTTTAACTCCAAATTTTAAATGGTCTGGATTTTTACTTATAACCATATTAACATGAATGTAAACATTTACATAATATATTTTACACAACTTATTAAGTCCTGAGATTCTTACAAAGAGCTTTTGCCACAGAAATGCTTTAAGCGTATGAAGGTTTACCAGTTCACTCTTTGTAAAAACTTGTTCTGAATTTCCTACTGCTTTGTAGGGAAGATGGGCAACATATTGTTTAAATTATATTCTTATTTTAGCTGATTATACTTGACTTTATTTTCACTGAAATTAATTTCAAAGCATTTCTGCCTCATTATATAACAGAGTCTAACTTGACCAGTTTTTTTTTTTTTTTCCTATTGCCTTTGTCAGCATTTTCCTATGAGTGTACTGGGAATTAGTGAAAGGAATTATATTTAGGAACTGCACTTAATCTGCTGTTCGTAGAAATCAAAGAACTCTAGTATTAAAAGCTTATTGCTGGGCCCAGTAAGGTAGCCTGATGACTAAAGATATGAAAACTTGTGGTACTGTAATTATACATGCATTTGCTCAGTGTATTTTGAGAATATACTGTATTAATAAATTCCTTTAAAGAATGCTAATCCAAACATACAAAACTGATATGAAATGTTAAACAATGCCTCAGAAATCTCTTTCTTAGAAGATTACAATGAATAGTAACACATTAAAGGCTTTAGTAAATCTTATAAGGTATTTAATTTTGCTTAATCTATTAGCAACACATTTATCTTACCTGCTCAGCTTAATTGCTACAGTTACTATAATGAAACATTTTCAATAAGCTCAATTCAGTAAAAATTAGATAACATGATCAGAAATCCCAATCAATGTACAAATTTTCTTGACACATATCTGAGGGTACCAAGATGGCATTACTCTGGGAGAGAGCATTAATATTATTTACATTCAGAGAAATACTAGTTTGTTTTTTAAGGAAGAATTTCCCAGTAAATTGAAAGTTTCAAAAAAGGAAATAAGGACCACATTTACCAAAGAGGCATGACTACTTAAAAATAGAACCAGTTAGTTCATTACCTTTTATCTTTACATGCTAATTTTTCCAACTGACTTCTCCAAATGATATCATCTTCTGTTTTATTGAAGAACATCAGCTTCACTGTTCTTATAAGGGGGAAGAGAGAAAGAAAACTCAGACCTAAATGAAAACATTTAAGCTATGTACAAATTTAATGTCTATAGTAATCCAAAGTGAAAATTTTGTAGTGTCAAAAGTATAAAAAATGGATATAACAGAAATAAGTTAATAAAATAGCTAGGACTGGGGAAAAGAGGAGAAAGTAATGAGAATATGTGTGTTAGTGTCTGATACACAATCAACTTCGAAAGTCTTATACAAATCAGAGCTTCAGAGGGGAGTATAATTATGGATAAAATCTCATACCTGAGACTGGGTAAGTAAGTCAAAGCATAATTCATGATTTTAACCATTGGTGTAAAGCCTGTTCCAGCTGCCAACAGAAAGAGGTCTTCTAGTTCTTGGAGTTTGGATATTTTAAAATTGCCCTCAGGATTGCTGACAGAAACAAAATCTCCTAAACAATGAGATATAAGCCAAATCAGAAAGAATAAAAAGGGCAAAACTGACAGGGCTAAAAGTACCTAAATTTGGAATAATGATAAGTAGTAAATAACTTACATCTATCAGCCTTCAGATTATCTAAAAGTATTAGAGGTGATCGTTAGGCTCCCAGATACTCCTGAAGACTAGCATCAAAATTAAATTAATAATGAGATTTTATTATGCCTTATCACCATTATTTTCTCAAACCATCTAAAATGTGAAAAATATAAACTATTACAAAGCAAACTTTCTATAAATTATCATAAAGGACCACAAAATTAAGAGGTCATGAATATGTGTACTAGATCCTACTGGGTACAGAACAGACACTCATTATGTACATACTGATTAACTGCAATAGTAATATGACCAGTAGGACAGAAAACTGAAATAGAAATATATTCTATAATCTTAGGTTAGTAAATATGCTAACTTATCTTTTTTTGAATAACATTTTTTGAAATAACCTAGTGATTAAAGAATAACAGCTGTTCTGAATTTAATTTCTATGAAAACAAAGCAAGATCAGAAAAGCAGTCAGCTGTACTTGGAGCACGCATCTTTCAACTAGGATTAACAGTTGAGAAACCAGTGCCCACATCCTTTGGTGCTACTGTTTTAATCACCATGAATACTAATGTAAGGAAACTGCCCTTAGGACTACATTTGCAAATGTTCATTTTTAAAATATAAAATAAACTTGTTCACAATTTTTAAATGATTTGAAAGATACCAACTTATTTTAAAATGCAATACTGCTTACTTCTTTTTTTTTGCTTATCATTACAGGGAAATGGTAATGTTCAATTGGTGAATGAAGTATTTGAAAGTTATAGAAACTATCCATTACAGTTTGAAGGGGGACATAAGGTCAGCGTGTGTTTTGGAAAAAGTTACATGGCTGATTGCACTGTAGGAAAGTGGGAAAACTGTGTCAAAGATGCAGTGAAGCTACAGCCAATGAGGAGTATGGATGCACTGGCTGGGACAAACAGATGACTTCGGCTGTTGACAGGCTGAGTTTAAGATATTTGACAGGCATTCATATGGCGATTCTAGAAGCAGTCTGATTTACACTAGAGTTTAAATGAGATTAAAAAAAATACTAACCAATCTGAAGATGATTAAGTTCTGGTGTAAAGAGTCCAGCAGGATAGACTTTGATCAAAAAGTAGATGTATTTATTACTCGTAAGAACTGGTTCCTTGAACTCTGAGAGTAAGGAATCTGATACAGGTGTGTATGGCTTCACTATTTCTGTACCTAGAGGGGGGAAAACAGTTAAACTCTAAAAATCTGGATATTTACATAATAACATATTTTATGATATTATGACCATAAATGAATATGAAGCACAAATTTAAGCTGCCATCCATGTACATATATAAAAAGATGTCCCTAATGTACATAAAATTCTATTTTACATGTATATAGTATAATATGTACTGAAATAATTTTAACATGTTAATATTTTACCTAAAATAGAAATAATCTATTTTAAAATATGGTTTAAACTTATAGGAATATATGTTAATAATAGGCAACCAGTTATTCCATCAGCATTTACACTTTGTAATGGATCACAACAAAAGTACTACCAAAAGGTTACCACAGAGATGTAAGAAGGCATTTACAAACTAATTTTAGGTACATACAGTTTTATGTTTCGCATTTTATCAACTCAGCTTTATAAACGATACGGTGTTCAGTAGTTACCAGGAGATTAATATGGATTTGGAGCAATTGCCCTTGTGAAGGACCATTTGTGTTCCCCATCATTTTCCCCATCATTTTTCCCCATCATTTTTCTTCAGGATTTTGTTAGTTACAAATTAAAATTCTGTTGAACCATCTCTCCTATTAGCAGTAATTTCTTTGTTCCATAAAATAACACTGCAAAGCTAAAGTTTCCACATGTAGGAAATACTGCATCCACAAACCTCCTAGCTGCCCACCCAGAAACTCTTGTTAGTAACTTAAATGAGTATTTCCTAAAAATATCAGCACTGATTATAAATTGCTTAAAAAAGAGAAAATATTTCCCCAAAGTCCCGTTCTCCTACCTGTGATAGTCAGCTTGAGGTAAACATGTTGCCCAACTGGCACCTGAAGATGAGTGCTTGGTGGCAGCATCACACAGAGCAGCTTTGTGTCATGAGTGACATCTTCCTTGGAAACCAACTGGCACTTTCTGTAGCACAAACCTAGAAGGTGTTCACTGTCGGTTAACTCACACCAGAACACCAAGTAAAAGCGTTCACTGAATTTTTGAGCTCCAGAGTATTTCAAGTTCACTAAAAAACCTATACATTTTAAAAACTTCTCAACATCATAAGGTTAAATGTTTTCAAGTTATTTCCTCATATCTATTTTCTATACTTACAAAAAATTCCATAACATGAAAACTGAATTCTGTAAAACGTTTTTTCCTCATTTTATAGTACATTAAAACAATGATATTTTAGGAAATTAAAACTTATTCAATTTCCTCATACATTTATTTTGAAATAATTTCAACTTTTAAATTTCACATTTACAGCAATATAAATTCTATACATAACAAATACTTGATAGAGAACATCCTCAGAAGCTGGTTTTTCTATGCAGTGGAAAGTCTGGAAACTGGGTATATAAGGTTTAACAATAATAATGTTATTAAGAAATTTTAGCACTCCATAAATTGGGCATACAGAAAATGCAATTTAAAATTATATAAGCACTAACTGACAAATCACAACCAGAATTATCCTGAACAAGCTTAAACAAACAAACAAACAAACACACACAAAAACTGAAAGCATTTCCTTTCAGATTTAGAACAGGATAAGGATGTCCACTTTGCCACTTTTTAAATATAGTATTAGGGGCCCAGTGGTGTGGCCTAACGGCTAAGTCCTCATCTTGAATGCCCCGAGATCCCATATGGGCGCTGGTTCTAATCCCGGCAGCTCCACTTCCCATCCAGCTCCCTGCTTGTGGCTTGGGAAAGAAATCGAGGATGGCCCAAAGCTTTGGGACCATGCACCCGCGTGGGAGACCCAGAAGAAGTTCCTGGTTCCTGATTTCAGATCGGCACAACACCGGCCATTGTGCTCACTTGGGGAGTGAATCATCGGATGGAAGATCTTCTTCCTCTCTGTCTCTCCTCCTCTTCGTATATCTGACTTTGTAATAAAAATAATTAAATCTTTTAAAATATATATAGTATTAAAAGCAATACAAGCACCATTAAGGAGAAGAAAGAAATAAAGGGAATAGAAATCGTAATTAAAAAAAAGTCAAATATCCATGCATGCAGACAACAGAATGTTATACATGGAAAAAGCTAACTATTACATCAAAAGCTGTTAGAATTGATAAATGAATTCAGCAAAGCTTCAGTTACAAAACCAACATACAGAGAATAATTGCTTCTTTTATATTTCAGTAATTAACTCAATGAAATTCCCTTCGCAATGGCCTCCAGCCTTCAAGCTAAATCAAGTAGTTAGGAATAAATGTAGCCAAAGAGGTGAAAGATCCCTTCAATGAAGAAACACTAATGAAAGAAAGTATAAAAGACGAAAATCTGTTAAAAAACAAAATCTATACTGTCAAAAGCCGAACATCTGGCCCATGAGCCATCTACGGCCAGAAAATCATTTGGTCTGGCTCTGCCAAGACATGGGCAGGCACGACCTTCCATTCAATAAATCTAAAGCAAACTAAAGTTTTAAGATCACAATTTTATATAAATATCCAAATGGTCCTTGGCAGAAAAAAAGTTATCCTCCCCTGATCAATAATCTACAGATTCAATGTGATCCCTATCAAAATATCAGTGACATTCTTTACAGAATTAGAAAAAAAAAATCCTAACATTCTCAAAGCATATAAAAGGACCCAAAACAATCCTGAGCAAAGAAAGGAGTAAAACTGAAGGAACTGCAATATTTGTTTCAAAGCAAAGCTATGATAATTAAAAAAGCATGCTACTGGTATAAAATCAAAAGCTCAATGGAGCAGGTTAGAGAGCCCAGAGATTAACCCACATACATGCAGTCAACTGGATTTTGACAAAAGTGCTAGAACACACATTGGAGAAACAGTCTCTTCAAATGACGCTGCTGGCAACTGAACATATTAGGTGGAAGAATGAAATAGATTTCTGCCTTTTGCCATAGGAAAAGAAATACTCAAGATGGGTCAAAGACTTAAATTTAAAATGAGATTATACAATTTATGGAAGAATAGGTAGGAGAAAACACTTCATTACATTAATGTAGCTAGTATCTTCTGGGTTAAGACCCTACACAACACAGGTAAAATGGGCAAAACTAGATACATGTAATCATATCAAACTCAGAAGCTTCTTCACATCAAAGGAAACAATCATTAGAGTAAAGAGTTTCAAGTTACTTATCTGACAAAAGCTAGCTTACTCTGATAAAAATGCTTAGAATATAGCACTAACTCAAAAAGACTCAACAACAAAATTGACAGATTCCCTTAACAAGTGGGAAAAGGACACAGACAGTTCTCATAAGAAGAAATACAATCAACACATACATAAAAAATAAATGCTCCAAATCACCAGCCATCAGGAAAATGCAAATCAAAACCACAATGAGCTCCCACCTTAATCTTGTCAGAATGGCGTTACTCAAAAGACAGTAACCAATGCTGCAAGGATGTGAGGAAGAGGAATTTTCATACACTGTTAGTTGAGAATTGTAAATTAGTGCAAGCATTGTTGGAAAGGGCATGAGGAACCTCCTTTTTTTGAAAAATAAAAAAAATTATTTTTATTTTAAAATCAGAGCTTTACAGAGAGAGAGAGGACAGACAGAGAAGATTTTCCATCTGCTGGATCACTCCCTAAATGCTGCAATGGCCAGGGCTGAGCTGAGCTGAAGCTGGAAACCTCTTCTGGGTCTCACAGGCAGGTACACTGTTCCAATGTTTTGGGCTATTCTCCACATAGTCTCCACATAGTCTGCACACATGTGGGAGGCTGGGAAGGAACTCCTGGCTCTCAGCTTTGGATTAGCCCAGCTCCGCCTGTTGTGGCCATCGGGAGTGAATCAGCAGATGGAGGATCTCTCTTTCCTTCTCTGTTAAGATCTGCCTTTCAAATAAGAATATCTTTAAAAAGGGGGAAAATAAGCCTACATCTTCAGACTTTCGGGTTTAAAGACACATTGCCCAAGTCACTTTAATTTCAGAAATAAGACTGGGGACCAGGCATTTAGGCAGTTACTACCGACGTCCTTCATTGGAATGCCTGGGTTGGTTACTGGCACCTGACTCCATCTTCTTGCTAATGCAGACCCTGGAACACAACACTGGCAGCTCAAGTAGCTGGATTCCTGCCACCATATAAGGAGGACCTGGACTTGAGTTTCTGGCCCCAGCTACAGCTCAGCCTTGGCTATGGCAGACATCTAAAGAAAGAAGCAAGGAATGGCAAACACACATTCTCTGCCCCTCCCCATATTTCCCCTCTTTCTCTTTTGCTATTTCTCTCCATGTTTAATAATTTTTTTAAAAAGAGAAAGGGTTTGGTGTGGTAGCCTAGCAGCTAAAGTCCTCGCCTTGCACACGCTGGGATCCCACATGGTTACAGGTTCTAATCCCGACAACCCTGCTTCCTATCCATCTCCCTGCTGTGGCCTGGGAAAGCAGTTGAGGATGGCCCAAAGCCTTGGGACCCTGCACTTGTGTGGGAGACCTGGAAGAGATCCTGGCTCCTGGCTTCGGATTGGCTCAGCTCCAGCTGTTGTGTTCATTTGGGGACTGAACCATTGGACAGAAAATCTTCCTCGCGCTCTCTCCTCTTCTCTGTATATCTGCCTTTCCAATAAAAATAAATAAATCTTTTTTAAAAAGTCTGGGGATCATATTCTAGAGGAGCACATCATTCTTCAGCAACTTTCCACTGATTTTTAACATAGTACCACATAAATATGTATAGAATATTCTTCCACACGTTATAACTACCAACTGATCATTTAATGCCCATTAAGGAACTACCTCATTAAATCAAGATTCCTTTCAGGCATATCTCTTCTTCAATATCCTAAATTCTCTGCTATTTGTACTAATAATACCCTTCCATAGCTTTCTTTTATCATTCACTTGCCTAAATATTCTTTACTTATGCTTTAATTTAGTCTATCGTTTCTCACTTATTATTGAAATAACTCCCTAAACCAATTAGTGGACCTATCAATTTGGAAAGACAGTGTTTGTGAAAGAAACATCTAAAACATGCTCATATATATGAATACCTAGACAGGACCACATAGAAAAAAAAACTATAGCCTAACGCTATTGAACTCCAAAAATATACCATTTAGAGTTTGCCATAGTTCACACAATAGAGCCAAGGCATATGGGTCCTTACTGTTTCTTCTAAGGAGATAACGTCAATGCACAAATACTACTGTTAAAATACTTATAGGAGCCAGGATGTGGCATTAGGGGTAAAACTGCGGCCTGTGACACTGGCATCAAATATGGGTGGTGGTTCATGTCGCGGATGCTCTACATCCAATCCAGCTTCCTACTAATGTGCCTGGAAAAACAATGGAATATGGTCCAGGTGCTTGGGCCCTTGCATCCACTTGGGAGACCCAGAAGAAGACCCAAGCTCACAGTTTCAGACGAGCCGGTTTAGGCCATGGTGGCCTATTTGAGGAGTAAACCAGTGGATGGAAGATCTCTCTTTCTCTCTCTATAACTCCGCCTTTCAAAAATAAAATAAATGAATAAATCTTTAAAATATTCATTAAAGGGGCTGGCATGGTAGCATACCAGCCTAATCCTCAGCCTGCAAGCATTGACATCCCACATATGTGTCAGTTCATATCCCAGATGCTCCACTTTTGAGGATGGTTCAAGGCCTTAGGCCCTTGTACCACGCTGGAGAACAGGAAGGGTACCTTGTACCCATCCTGGCTCCCAGGCTTTGAATCAACTCAGCTCTGGCTGTTGAAACTATTTGGAGAGTGAACCAGAAGGTGGAAGATCCCTCTCTCTGTCTCTTCTTCTCCTGTAAAAAACTGTCTTTCAAATAAAAATAAATCTCTTTAAAAAACCATGAAATGTATTAAAATGTTTTACTGCCTCTATTTGATTTACTACCTGAATCTTTCAAAAATAGGGATATTTCAGAGTCATAAAATAGAAGAAAAGCAGCTTTTTCTCTGAGATTGGATTTAATGGGGCCCTCAGACAAAGTACTCTAGCAATACTGTCACTAAATTTGAACACTTCTATGCTTACCTTGTTCTAATATTCTAAATTATCTTTGCTAATTTATTACATATGGATTAAAGGCAAAAGCAAAACAGCAGTTTTTCTTCTCTGAAAGAACTTGCATCTTTTATGTAAGAAAATAACAGATGCAATATGAGATGACATTGTACAAAAAACTTTCAACTATGGCCAGAACTGCAGCATGCTACTAATAATGACAAAATCCCATATGGGAATCTGTTTGTTTTGTGCCTGCTCCACTTCAATCTAGCTCCTTGCTAACCGCCTGAGAACAGCAGTGGAAGATGGCCTAAGTGTTGGATGGCTGCACAGAGCTCCTGGCCAGCCTGGTCATTGGGGCCATCTAGAGAATGAACCAGAAGAAGGAAAACCCTTATCTGTCTCTCCTTTTCCAACAACTAAAGTGTAAAAAGATTTTAGTGTAAATGTTTATTTTCAAACTAAGAAAACTCAACAAATTATATCATAAAAGTTACTACTGGCAACACATATTGAAATCCTAGAAACTACATGATAGGCTATGTTTCAGATTACTGAGAACAAATTGAGTATAATCCTTTGATAGTGTAAAAATTAATTTTGTTAGTAAAATAATTACAGTTTTCCCGTCATTTAACAAGAAAAGAAAATTACTTTTGCTACTTCGAACAAATAAAATCACCTCACTGAAAAATAATACCCAAGGCTCCAATTTCACAGCACAATAGTCAAACCTTGCTTTCTTTGCTGTTTTTTCCCCATTCTTACTCTTCCTGTTTAAATTAAAGCTTTCTTGTTCCTATCACACTTTATATCTCAGAATTCGCGGAAAGCCTTAGCAAGTTTCAGAAATGAATACTGAAGCCCTGATCATTCCATATCCAAAAGGAGGTCAGCTTTGGTTTTCAGTGTCATTTATTTCTTGGACCAGGCTTTTATCTGGCTTGCCGTTTTTCAATCACTAGATAAGTCAGGTAATTTCAGGGCAGAAGATTTCAATCTAAAAAGTCTCCTTACTTTCACTGCCTCTTTCTTTCTTAAGATCTGCTGGCCTACACTAGCATTCCTGTGTCCTAGTTCCCTACACAATATGACAAAATTCAGTCTCCTGCTCTCATATAGTTAACCTGTTCGAATTTCCTCATAAACCACATCATTTTTCTTCCATTACAAACTGAAAAATGTCTGACATAACATTTTCAGTAATGATACAGAAAGTCCTTCACTGCTTTGTGTTTTGTTACATCTCATTTTTTTTTAAAGTCGTGGATTTCAACTTTAGATGCCTTAAAGTAATTGTTCAAGATCAACTTCATCTGCATCTGTTCACTTGGAATTTCCATAATATATGTTTAGCGTACATATAATGTGCTTGCTGACCCTATCTGTATAAAAATATCCTTCAGTCTCCTATTCCGAGGTTCTCTCTCTTTTACTCGGGAAATAATTTCTTATTTTTGTTTGTTTTATAACACGGTGTCTAAAATATATAATTTGTACTCAAAATAAGACTGTCTGGATTTTTTTCTGAAATTTATCTATAAATGTATTTTTAGAATTGTGAAAAAAGATATCCTGATATGGATCTCCTAAAATTACCATTTATATTATCATTCATAAGCAACACTCACATGTAGTTTCTAGTCAGCATTTAGAGTCCTACCAGAAGACACAAACAGTCAAGCATGAGAAGCAAATATTCAAACAAAGCATTTAGTATGAGACACCAGAACAAGCACTGAACAACAAATGTGTGTGTGAGTGTGTATGTGGGAGTGGGCAGGTAACAGGCACACTGTGAAAGCTGTGAAAGGAAAACCCTAAATCACTATCAGTAATTCTTAAAAAGACAAGTTAATAAAATGCTAAGAGAAACAGATATCAAAAGAATTCTTAGAAGTTTAAAGTATAAGTAGAAATGAGTAACTCAATAAAAAAGTTTGAAAACACAACTAAAGAAATCTACAAAACAAAACAAAAGGAAAATAGTGAAAATAAAAAGAGAAAAGTTAAAATCGGAGGACTGATTAAGGTGGTTCAACACAAGAGTACTTTTAACAAGCAAAAACAGAGCATGGAGAGAAGATGATGCTATTTCTCAGAATTTAAAGTCCTAAGTTTTAGTATTGAAAAGATCAGCACAAAGGCTGAACACTCAATATGAAGGAAGAAAAAACAGATTAATACTACGGCACATCATTGAGTGTTTTCAAAACACTTGGAACAAAGAGCAAATCCTACCAAATTAATTGAAAAGAGAAGTTCTAACTGTATCATGGAATAGAAAAATTAAAGAAAAAAAAAGGGGGGGGGGAGGGAATCCTGGTGTGATAGCCTATGGCTAAATCCTTGCCTTGCAATGCACCAGGAGCCCAACCCATATGGGCAGTGGTTCATGTCTCAGCTGCTCAAATTCCCTTATGCTTCCTGCTTGTGGCTTGGGAAAGCAGTAAAGGATGGCCCAGCGCCTTGGAACTCTGTCTCCACGAGGGAGACCTTGAGGAGGCTCCTGGCTCCTGGCTTTGGATCAGCTTAGCTCTGGCCACTTATGGAATGAACCAGCAATCGGAATATTTTTCTTTCTGTCTCTCCTCCTCTCTATATATCTGCCTTTCCAATAATAATAAATAAATCTTTTCTAAAAAAGTGAAAACATAGGGTATGTGCCTTCTGTGAAATTTCATCAAGCAAAACAAATGTAAGACACACTGTTTTCTATGTATGTCAAATTCAGATGAAAAGCTATCAAGTAAACACGGTATCATCCTTTAGGAGTAAAGTAAGGAACTGGCTTACTTGAGCAGAAAAACAGTGAACAAATCTTTAATGGAAGAAAAAAAAAATCAGATGTGCAAATGAAGCATTAACCTAAACTTGCTTTTGCATCGTCTAAAAAAAAAAACCAACTGAAGGAGTAAGTAGTAGGACACAAGCCTAAGTCCAAGGGAAGGTGTTCCTTCCAGTGAATAGGATTCCACACGGAATGCTCACATCCCATGCCAGAGTGCCTGAATTCAGTTCCTGGTTCTGCTCCCACGCCAAGCTTCCTGCTGTGTGTACCCTGAGGAGTAGCACGTCTCAAGGGGCTGAGCCCCTGACACTGACTGGGAGATCTGGATTGCATCCCTGGCTTCCACCTCTGGCAGGGCCTAGCCTCACTAACTGCAGGAATTTGGGCAGTGAAGTAGTACTTGACTTCTTGGTGTTCTGGTCTCTGTCAGTCACTCTGACTCTTAAAAAGGAAAAAAGAGCCAGGTGCAGAAGTCCAGGGGCTAAAGTCCTAGCCTTTCATGCACTGGGATCCCATATGGGAGCTGGATCTAATCCTGATGGCTTCACTTTCCTATCCAGCTCCCTGATTGTGGTCTGGGAAAGCAGTTGAGGACAGCCCTGAACCCATGAGGGAGACCCAGAGGAGGCTCCAGGCTTCTGGCTTCGGAATGGCTCAGCTCCAGCTGTTGCAGTTGCTTGGGGAGTAAATCAACAGATGGAAGATCTTCCTCTCTCTTTTCCTCTTTGTATATCTGACTTTCCAATAAAAATAAATCTTAAAAAAAAAAGAACAAAGGAAAAAAAATCTTTTTTCAATACTGCTCAAATCTTTAAATCTGAAATCTAACATCTATGAAAAAAAATGATGGCACACACATCTTTTCAAGCCTTCTACAGTGAGATACAAAGACCCCTCAGATGGTACAAACCAGATGTTCCAAACTCTGGTGTCACAAGTATAACAATTTTGCAATATTAAGCTAACATAATAAAGTAACAGCAGGCATACCTCTATCTTTCTTTGGAATTAGTGAATTATCATTCTCCAGGGGACGACCAAGACACTTCCAAGAAGTATTTTCTCTCTTTTTTAGAATAATTTCTATTTTTCCCACATTCTCAATAACCCGCACTGGAAAGAAAACAGTATTTATTTGCACTCATTGATACTGAATATGTTACTTTCAAAATCATCTTTTTCAAACAGTCCAAATGTTCTGATCTAACATAAGCAATGTTGATCACTAGTGAGATAGATAAGTTTGTTAATATATTCATTGAAAATGTTTATTCCTTACAAATCTAACTTATGTAAACTTCTGATCCGAAGTAGTTTATCAAGGTCAAACCAGTATGCAAAAGTCTACTTCAAAAAGTCCATGGGTCGGGCCCGGCGTGGTGGCGCAAGTGGTTAAAGGTCCTCGCCTTGCACCCCCGGGATCCCATATGGGCGCCGGTTCTAATCCCGGCGGCCCCGCTTCCCTTCCAGCTCCCTGCTTGTGGCCTGGGAAAGCAGTCGAGGACGGCCCAAAGCTTTGGGAACCTGCACCCGCGTGGGAGACCCGGAAGAGGCTCCTGGCTTCGGATCGGCATAGTATCGGCCCGTTGCGCTCACTTGGGGAGTGAATCATAGGACGGAAGATCTTCCTCTCTGTCTCTCCTCTCTGTATATCCGCCTTTCCAATGAAAAAATAATAAAAATAAATCTTTAAAAAAAAAAAAAAGTCCATGGGTCAAAAAGTTCATGGAAAAGGAAAGACTCAAAGGATAATTTTGTTGCCAGATAATTGCAACCAAACCTTTTATTCATAAAATTTGCATTCTGTGAACTTTCTGAAAACATCTCGTATTACTAGTCTTCATATATGCTCAGATACAGCCATGAAAACTAACCAATTTACAGCCAAAAAATTTTAAAGGGTTGATTTACACATATTAGCCACAAAAGCAAATTTGACTTGCACCGTTAAAATTCCTTGTAGGAACCTCAAAAATAGATTTCACTGACTAATATTATGTTTAATAAATGTAAGAAACTCAGGGAAACATATTCCAAGCAAATATAAGGTGAAATAAGTTTATGTGAATTTTTGATAATTAAAATTATATTTCTAAGATGATTAAACTAGAAATATGGATATAATAATAATACATACACTTTCTTACACTGATTTCAGTTTTATAAATTGAATATATTAAAAGATCTAAAGCACATGTCACTTTTGTTTAGAAACAAAGCATCTTTTTTCTCACTGTAAACATGGGACTATTAATTTAACAACTTTTTGTAGTCTTAACTGGTTTAGAAGCCAATTTATTTATTTTTTACATTTTTACAATTTTATTCTATACATTTCCCCCCTACAGGTTTAACACTCCATTAGGTTATGATATCAACACATGAAAACCAGAAAAATAATAGTAACAAAAGAACAACAAAAAACACAATAAGCAAACAAAAAAAGCCAAAAACTTACTGTTGTTCAGGAGTGTAAGCAAACACTGTTCACAATAACCAAATACTTTGTAAAAATAGATTAGATAGGAGCTGGCATTGTGGCATAGTAGGGTAAACTGCCATCTGTCTGTCCACCTACATTCCATGAGTTCCAGTTTGGTGCTCATGTGCTGTTCCAATTCTGATCCAGCACACTGCTGATATGGCTGGGAAAAGAACAGAAGAGGATCCAAGTGCTTGGATCCATGCCACCTATGTGAGAGTCTCGGCTGGAGTTTTAGGCTGGTGGTTTCAGCTCAGTCAAGCCCTGGCAACTTGGATAGTGAACCCATGGATGGACAATCTTTTTTCTTTCTTCCTCTCTCCTTTTGTGTCTGTGTGTGTGTGTCTTTCTCTGCCTTTCAAATAGACAAGTAAATCTTTTAAAAAAATTAAAACAGTTCAGGGGCCTGGCACTGTGGCCTAGCGGCTAAAGTCCTCGCCAGGATCCCATATGGGCGCCGGTTCTAATCCCAGCAGCCCCTCTTCTCATCCAGCTCCCTGCTTGTGGCCTATGAGGGCAGTCAAGGATGGCCCAAAGCTTGGGACCCTGAGCCCGTGTGGCAAACCTGGAGGAGGTTCCTGGATCCTGGCTTTGGATTGGCATAGCATCGGCTGTTGTGCTCACTTGGGGAGTGAATCATCGGATGGAAGATCTTCCTCTCTGTCTCTCCTCCTCTCTGTATATCTGACTTTCCAATAAAAATAAATAAATCTTTAAAAAAAACAGTTCAATGTGCACTGATTTCAATGTGAAATATGCTCCTTAATTTTTAAGAGTATAATTTACAAAATCTACTAGGCTTATACAGAAAAGGGGAGACACTCATCAAGTAAAATACAAGAGAGTCGAAAGATTCATGGATATAAACCTTGAAAATAATCTACACGTAAATTAAAACATTTTTTTTCATCAAAATAAATGTATCCATTTAATCCATTTTCACCAACTTTCTAACCTTGTCTTATATATTCTGCCAGTACCTGGAAGTAAGAAATCACCATTATATGATAAGCCTTGTGCAAAATCTATGCTGTGCGCACTGATATGTAGCAATATTCATGATTAGTAATATGCTCTATCGACATAAACAATGGAATACAAACAGCTAAGAGATATTTGGCCTAGTACATTTCTATAAACTGTGTGTCAGCAGCAGGGCAAAGACAAGGAAGAAAGGAAGAATGGAAAGGATATGAAATAGTTTTAAGTAAGTAAAAAAAAAAATTTAAGGAATGGGGACATAAAAGGGGAAAAAAACCCCTAAAAGCTGAATTAAGAATTAACATATACATTTATATTAAAAAATCATACCTTTATTTTGCCACATAAAAATATACACATGAAAAATAAAACAAATGTCACTTTTTCTTTATATATGTATGTGTAGACATACAATTTTTTTTTTGCTAGCTTACCAGAAAAATCTTCCTGAACGTCATGGCATAGCCCTAGGATAGAAAAACAAAGTTAAAATCCAGCTTCAATTCATATAGTTTATGAAAGCCAAGATCATTTGAGTATTTTAAGTACTATTCCAAATCTGTCAAGACAAGTAAAACATCCTGAGAGATCAAGAAGAAAAAAACTATACTCCATTGTAATGGAAAGCCAAATTCATTCCTGGTTGTAAGTGGAGAACTCCCATTAGTCCAAGCAAGGTCCCAAGACAATCCAACAAACCACAAAGGGAGAAGGCTACCCTGAGAGATAGCACCTGCAGCATGCAAGCCTCAGGGTGTGTCTATGAGCAAATATAAACAGACAGACAGGCCTGGGTCTAGCCTCACTTCTCTTTTCCTATTATTTTTTAAAGCTGGAGATCCACCTAACTGCTGATCAAATAAATTCTTAGAGTCTGTATGTACCAGGTACTGTCCAGGCATAATGGATACAAGAGCCAATGAAAGAGCAACCTCTAGCTTATGGAACTTATATTCTGAAAGGAAATGCAAGGAATACTTATCCAAACATCTTTTCTATAGTTTATACTACACTTCAGAATTTCCTTTCAATACAATATTAGTAATTAAGTTTCTGTGTTTTACTTACTCATTTATTTATTTTTTAATACATGTACTAATGCTGTATCTCACAGGACCGTCCACTTTTTATCTGTTCTGACTGAAAAGCACAAAATACCTTAACTATTCTGTGACCCACCCATCAGCATGTTTTCCTCAGTAGGCTTAAACATAAGCCTGGGCCATTGCGTTCCAAGGCACTGTTAATGCAGGTAAAGCTGTTGCTTAAAACATTGACACAAGCTGGCCCCAGCCTTGAGCCAAACGCTTGAAACTCTCTAAAACCTCTATCATCTGATCTCCTTGTTTCAGGTACCTGTAGGTAGCACACTTCTTTTTCTGCTGCAGACCTCTGCATCCAGTTCCCTAATCAACACTTAGCTTAGATTATGCTGGCATTTAGTGTCTCCTTCTTTGGAATCTCCACTAGTCCCATCTTAGTGCTATCTGGGAATGCTCTTGTTGGAACTCTAGGTTATTGCTTCTAGAGCAGGTCCAGCTGCAGTTCCAGCCAGGCAGAGCAGCCAAAGTTTTAGCCGCAGTGTGAACAAAATTAGCGACAAAGTATTTGAAAAACAAAAACAAAAACAACAACAACAAAAAACAGATGCTGCACAGGTTTCTTCAAAAACTAAGTGAATTTCATTAATATAGTCAAGCACTGAACAGAAACTTGTATCACTGAAGTCTGAGAATTTCAGCCTTTGCTCTACTTTTTAACCAGAACAAAGTCAATGTTATAAAAGGGGAAAGCAATGAACCTTACAGGCAAGTGCATATTGGGTGAGAAGTTAGGAATCTGGTTTTTTGATACCTGAATTTCAGTGATTTCTTTCCTCTGATCTGTAATCTCTCAACACTGATGGAGTAAATTGTTTGGTTTCTTTTCATTCATGAAACGACAAGCAGATGACGATACAACACAGACTTGCAGTCCAGACTGCTTTGTTGTGACCTCTGACTTCCCATGATGGAGCTGGCAAGAAATAGACCAGGCTGGAGTGGCCACCTAGTGATGGGTGCTCAGTAGGCACAGGAGACTCCCTTGTGGGTGTAAAGTATAAGTCACTTACCAAATCTGGGCCAACAAAGATTTCATAAACTGATTTTGATAGTATCTGATTGCTTAAACTTGGAAAGGTTTAAGGGCTAACCATCATTTGCTAGCACCATTATTAGTATAAGCAAAAAATTAGAAGATTAAAAACATGCAATAAACCACAAATAGGAGACAAAATATATAGTGACCTAGACCACAGACAAAGTTATTGAATAATTAAAGAAAATTGGGGGTGGCTTCATTTAATAAAAGCATACTCACCAATATGCAAAAGATATGAATAGTCCTTGACAATTACTTCTGCTCTAATGGAGTCACCCTGATGATCAATTATTACTGAGTCTAAACTGATATCCTTGAATAGAAAGCGAAAAACAAAAATTATAAAGTAAAAATTTTCCAAGCTTCCACAATTACATGTGTGAGATGATCAACGAAATCTCACACTGGGTTTCTTTACAGAACTCTCAAGCTAAATCTGTGTTATTACTGTTTTTTCTCTCTCTTTCAACCCTATTCTCCTTCAAAGCACATATACAACAAATTTAACTACATATTCATGCCTGTTAATATCTGCCTTCATCACTTTTTTCAGACCGCTACACTTGAGAGACTAACAACTAGAAGATACTTGACAACTATTTGCTAGATAAGTAACATTGTAAAAACAAAATTTTAAGCATACGAGAAAACAGAGTATTTGTGCTCACTTTCACCTTCCACTATTGTTTGATGTGGCAAACTATATAACCTCTCCACCTCAGCCTATATGAAACAAAACAAGAAAACCAACCCAGTAGCAAAATTTTAGACTGTCTCTAAAAACAATATAGCATTGGTGGAAGGCATTTTCTCATCATCTATGTCATAGTAAACTCATTATTTCCTGTAGAAACCTTCCCCTTTCCTTCAGCCATCTTCCCTGTGTACAACCTCGATATTATCAATGGCAGTGGACCCACACCTCCCTAGGTTTTCTGTTCTTGGTTTTAGACTAACGAATGAGTGGGAGAAAGGACAAACAGGTCTCTAGTCCTCTTGGATGTATGGCTATCAGGTATAGGTTTTTCCCCCAACTCTCCCAGCATTTACTTATTTGAAAGGCAGAACATCAGAATGGTATCTTTCATCTACTGGTTCATTTCTCCAGATACTCAAAACAGCCAGTGCTAGTAAGGCAGTCAGATGCCAGAAAATCAATTCAGGTCTACCACATGAACCCAGTACTTGAACCACTACCTGCTGTCTCACAGGGTACCCATTTAGAGGAGCAGGATTGGAACTGCAGACACTAGAATCTAGGCACTCCAATATTGGCTGTGGCTATCTTAAGAAGGGGCTAAGTCTGCTGTACTACAATGCCTAACTCAAAGCCAGTCATTGCTGCAGCACAGTCAGATCATGCTGCACAAACCAGAGAAACCTACCAGCTCAGGGTGGTTCTGCCACCACACAAGGCAGCAGGAATTCTGAAAGCTCTTAGCTTCCAGAATTTGTCTACAAATCTGAATTGTTCCTCCAATGTGGGAGCCTCAACAGCTGCCGGAGCGATGCATTTGGGGATTTTATAGGATTTCCAGTGGAAGAGTAAGCCTCATGAAGCAAGAGTTCTGTGGCTGATCCCTAATGTCTAAGACAGTGCCTCACCTCAAGAAAGTGCTACACTAGACATCAGTAAATAAATTACTTCCTTGACTTCAGTTTCAAAGTGGTATCTCAACACTACTAGTGACTTAACATACTAGACACAGCTCTACGGTTTGTGTAATTACAAATTATACTGAGGAAATTTGTTTTTAGGAAGAAGTTCATTGGGATTTACTTTTGTTATCCAAGTCTTTAATAAAATCACATAAAATATTAGTCTAGCTTTTTAAGAAAAGATGGCACAAGGTTTTAAAGCTGATGTCCTAGAACAGAGTGTTAGGGTTCAAATGGTAGATCTACTGCTTATTTTGTGACTTTGAGCCAATTACTTATTCTCTTCATATTTCCTAATCTGTAGAACAGGATAGCACTAGTATCTACCTGGTAGAAACAGTGTTAAGTAAATACATTATCATATTATAGGTGCTTAGAAAAGAGCCTAGTATACAAGTGACATGTCATTTATTTTTAAATTTTTAACATAAAAATGTATTACCTTTTGTTTAGTATATATGACGATGGTGACTAAAGAGTCTGTTTGGAACCAATCATAGCTATAAAAATATTAAGAAAAGAAAAATAATTATAACATATTATTAAATAATTACATATACTAAATGAACGTATATTATATTTAAATCATTAAATCTTTCAAAATTTACCCTGAAAACTACATTTCTCCAGATTTGGCTTCTTGTAAATAGTGATATTACCATGTTATGGTCTTCATTTCATAGGTAATAACTATTTTTAAATTTAAAATTTTACACTTCTAACTATTTGAATAAAAACAAAGTTATACTGACAAGATACTTTTTATATAAGTTACATATTTCCTTAATAAAATCATCTTTTAGTAGAGCAATAACAAAATACTTTTTAATGAAATGAAGGAGTCTGCATTTACTACCTTCTTCCTGCCTATCACAAACCCATTACTATAAAAGAAATCAATTCATCAAGGCTGTTTGGTGGGTGGACAGTAAGTGCAACTAAGTTTCTGTGTTGCCATACATTGCTACTGATCAAAGGGATACTGGTTTTGTTCTTACCACCTACTGAACACACCACAGGTGAACTTAGCGGGGCATGCCTATCCTCTTACACTAGTCTACCAAAAAGCTTTATTATTAATACAGCAGGATGCTGCTCTTTAGAATAGAGGCTGGCAAGTAAGAGAGAGTTGGTAAGAGAAAGAGGGACAGAAAACACACCTAATTCAAAGGATATTTGAAGAGTCATTAACAAAAAGATATGTATTGTTTAAGACAGTGCTTAATACATTTTGAGAGATTTCCACTAAAAAATGATTAAAATAAACTAGATATACAAGTAACAGAACAGTTAATTCTAATATAGCCATATAATGGAATATAGACCAAAAATGATTTCACAGTAGTTAATAATAGCAAATTACTCATAGAATGTTACAATAGAAATTTAATAAAAACAGAATACTATGGAAATAAGTACTATGTATACCCACATGAAAGGAATAAATAAAATGAAAAAGTACACATACGAAATCTGGGGATTACAATGTATTTTGTCATTTCCTTTTGTACTTTTCTGTATTTTCCAATTTTTCCATCATGAATGTGTGTTATTTTACACTCAGAGAAAATTTTTTAAACAATTTTTAAAGTGTTGGTGTTAAAAATGCACCATATTTCAGCTATACATAAAATTCACATCATATATCAGCTCATTATCATTCTCCAGTAACATAATTGATCCGCAATACCCCTTTTTAAAAAATGCATGCATTTCTGTGTGGAACTGGTTTAGTTCTATACATGTAAAACAATGGTACATACCTTGGAGAACTAGGCGCTTCTTTGGGAAGTGGATCTGTCACAGGGCTCTTGGGAAGCATGCCTACATCAAAGAAAAACAAAACAAAAAAGCCTGAATTCATTTATACAGCAGTGAAACATTTTTAGCATCTCAATTAACTTGTTACTGAAATATGGCATATATACATAATGAAACATAAATGTATTGCTCAATTTTCATAAGATGAAACACACCCAATAGCCAATACCCACTTTGTGCTATTTATTGTCACTCCTGTTCCTAGAGAAGGTAACCACCATTCTAACACCATAACTAGTCCTGTGTCTGATCTTTATGGGATGACAACACATATATTTTCAATGATCTTGCTTTTCTGTTAGACCTTAGACACTACAGCTGCTTTGGCAAACATGACTGTACAAGCAATAAATCAAACCTACAATTTTCTGAAATTTCCTTCATGCTCCTGAATGCAACAGTAATTTGTTCTTTTTTGATACTTAGAAGCATATTGTATGGATATACTACAATTTATTCATTCTCTTGTTGATGGACTTAAGACTGTGTGAGGTGCTGCCTCATTCTTGTACATATGTACTATCACAAAGAATATGCATCTATATTTCTAGTGAATTTATAGGGTCTATGTATGCTGAGCTTTAGCCAAGACTGATAAACAACTTTCCAAAATGGCTGAAGTAAGTTACAATTTGAGATTTCACTTGTTTCACATCCTTTCCATTTGTGGTATTATTTTTATCATTTTATTGATTTTTTTAAAAAGTACCTGATAAAACTATGGTTTCTAAATAGTTTTAGAAAACTGAGATATGAGAGAACTCTGGGTATTCTTTATATAAGTAAGAATGCATTGTTTGCATCTCTAAGATTTAGTTTATAAAAAACAGTCCTGTTTCAATGTCTTCCTCTTCAAAGTGCTAACTGACTGAATAAATGTCAATTTGAAGGGATCAACTCTCTATTGGAATATGAAAGATATCTATGCTATATTTTAAGCAGTCGTTATAATGATGATGCAGAAGCAGCCACTTCACATTGTGAAGCACAAAGACTTTCCAAGTAGGCCAACAAGTACAAATTGTACAACGTATCTGATATAAACAAGAGAGCGCTTCAAAAAGTCCATGGAATATGCATGCGGTAGAAAAACTATGCATGATTTCAAAATGTTTCCGTATCAGAATGAACTTGTCTTTTAATTCTGATTTTCTGCAAACTGCTTCAACAACACTTTCATATATTTTCAGTCTTATGGGATCCAGGACTCAGTGGTAACGGTACTGGCCTAATCATTTGTAGACTGCTAAAGCCACTTTAACTGAGTTATTAGCTAAACGCAATTTATCCACAGAAAGCCAACAGCAAAGTCAAGGTTCTGGAACCCATAGGTAGTGGGAAAGGAAAAGTTCACTTCATCAGTAATTACTTTATACTTAATGGTTACTTTTGCATTAACACAGAAGTGTCAATTATCAGATGAAATTGAAGATCAGTCCATAACTTAATACTACATTCTCATGCAGCTTTAGGTACTATTTTTATTGTTGCTTACATTGTATTATGTAGTACAGTTTTATAGGCGCTGGGGATTCCCCCCACCCCTCCCATAACCCTCCCCCCATGGTGGATTCCTCCACCTTGTTGCATAACCATAGTTCAAGTTCAGTTGAGATTCATTGCTTGCAAACACATGCCTAGCATAAAGTTCAGCGTCTTATTGTCCAGATAAGTTCAGTGGCCTCTTGGGGAGACCTTCTATGGTCTGAAGATAGGTCTAACAGAGTAAAGATCCGGTCAGTTAAAAGCCCCAACAAGGCCTCAGTATCAATATACAACATTATGGAATTAATTGACATAGTAATGGGTAGACAATATGTTAAAAATAATGCAAGTTCCATTCTTCGAAACATCTGGGTTGAGACAGTATCAATGACCGGTTCAAAAAATAACCAACAACCAAACAAAAAATTACAGGTTAAATCAAGGCAAACATGTGGTATCTAATCTTTTGGGATTCACTCATTTCCCTTAGCATTATAGTTTCCAGTTGGGCCCATTTAGCCACAAAGAACTGCATTTTGTTTTTTTTAATAGCTGAGTAGTATTCCATGGAGTAGATGAACCAAAGCTTTCTTATCCAATCTTCTGCTGATGGGCATTTCGGTTGCTTCCATGTTTTTGCAATTACTGATTGTGCTGCAATGAACATAGGGATGCATGTTGGTTTGTCGTAAAACAGGTGTTTTGGATATATTCCTAGGAGTGCTATTGCTGGGTCATATGGTATGCAGATTTTGAGTTGTTTGAGTGTTCTCCAGACTGATTTCCATAAAGGCTGTACCAATTTGCAGCTCCACCAGCAGTGGAGTAGGGTTCCCTTTTCCCCGCATCCTCGCCAGCAAGCGTCGTTGGTGTTCTTGTTTATGTGGGCCAATCTTACTGGTGTTAGGTGGTACCTCATCGATGTTTTAATTTGGATTTCCCTTATTGCTAGGGAGCTGGAACATTTTTTCATATGTTTGTTTGCCATTTGGACTTGTTCCTTTGTGAAATGTTTGCCCATTTCCCGTGCCCATTTCTTGAGTGGTTTGTTTGTTTTGGTTTTTTGGTTGTTTTGAAGTTCTTTGTATATCCTGGAAATTAGCCCCCTATCGCCTATATCGTGTGCAAAGATCTTCTCCCAATCTGTGGGTTGCTTTTTTACTTTGTTGATTGTTTCCCTTGCTGTACAGAAGCTTCTTAGTTTGATGAGGTCCCATTTGTTTATTCTGTTCTCAACTGCTATTGCTTTTGGTGTCCTTCTTAGAAAGTCGGAACCTACTCCTAGGTCTTGCAGGGTATTTCCTACATTTTCCTGCAAGAGTTTGAAGGTTTCTGGATGTAGGTTTAGGTCTTTTATCCATGTAGATTGGATCTTAGTGTATGGTGATAGATGTGGGTCTATCTTTTTGTTTCTACAGGCTATCAGCCAGTTGTCCCAACAACATTTACTAAAGAGGCCTTCCCACTTGCTTGAGTTGTCATTGGTCTTTTTGTCAAAGATTAATTGGCTGTATTTGTGTGGGTTCCCTTTTGGTGCTTCTATTCTATTCCATTGATCTTCCTTTCTGTCTTTGTGCCAGTACCAGGCTGTTTTGATAACCACTGCTCTATAGTATGTCCAGAGGTCCGGGATTGTGATTCCCCCTGCTAACTTCTTATTTTTCAGGATGGTTCTAGCTATTCGTGGTTTTTTGTGTTTCCAGATGAACTCTTGAATCATTGTATCCAGTTCCGTGAAGAATGTTTTGGGCAATTTGATTGGAATTGCGTTGAAAATGTATATTGCTTGTGGTAGTATAGACATTTTAATGATATTGATTTTGCCTATCCAGGAGCACGGGATGTTATTCCATCTTTTGAGGTTTTGTTCAATTTCCTTTTTAAATAGTTTGTAGTTTTCTTCGAATAGGTCTCCTACGCTTTTGGTTAAATTTATTCCCAAATACTTCATACTTCTCTCTGCTATTTTGAATGGTATCCTGTTGGTTAGATCTTCTTCCATCTTGGTGTTATTTGCGTACACTATGGCTGTTGATTTTCGTTCGTTAATTTTGTACCCCGCCACTCTGCCAAACTCTCGTATAAGTTCTAGCAGTTTCTGTATTGAGTCTCCTGGTTTTTCTATGTACAGGATTATGTCATCTGCATATAGTGAAAGCTTGACTTCTTCGTTTCCTATACGTATGCCTTTGATTTCTTTTTCTTGTCTTACGGCCTCTGCAAGTACCTCTAGGACTATGTTGAATAGCAGTGGTGATAGCGGGCACCCTTGTCTTGTTCCAGATCGCAGTGGGAAGGGTTCTAGCTTTTCTCCATTCAGTATGATACTGGCATTGGGTTTTTCATAAATTGCTTTGATTATGTTGTGGATTTTCCCATCTATGCCTACTTTGGCTAGAGTTTTTAGCATGAAGAGGTGTTGGATTTTGTCGAAAGCTTTTTCTGCATCTATTGAAACTATTATGTGGTTCTTGTTTTGCAGTTTTTGGATGTGGTTTATAACATTTATGGATTTCCGAATGTTGAACCATCCCTGCATTCCAGGGATGAATCCTACTTGATCCGGATGAATGATCTGTCTGATGATTTTTTGAATTCTATTGGCTAGGATTTTGTTGAGAATTTTAGCATCAATGTTCATCAGAGAAATAGGTCTGTAGTTTTCCTTCTCTGATGGTTCTCTGTCCGGTTTTGGGATTAAGGTGATGTTAGCTTCATAGAATGAGTTTGGGAGGGTTGCTTCCTCCTCTATTGTTTTGAAGAGCTTGTAGAGGATTGGGGTTAGTTCTGTTCGGAATGTTTTGTAGAATTCTGTAGTGAAGCCGTCTGGGCCTGGGCTTTTTTTCGTTGGGAGATCTTTGATGACTGTTTCAATCTCTGCCTCGGTTATGGGTTTATTTAATTCTGCAGTTGCCTCCGGACTGAGTTTTGGTAAGTGGTGGGAGTCCAAGAACTTTTCTATTTCTTGGTGGTCCTCAAATTTGTGGGAGTACAGTTCTTTGTAGTAATTTCTAATTATTTTCTTAATGATTGCAGTGTCTGTTGTTATGTTGCCTTTTTCATCTTTAATGCTATTGATTCTCACTTTCTCTTGTTTTTTTTTGGTCAATCGGGCCAGTGGAGTGTCTATTTTGTTTATTTTCTCAAAAAACCAACTTTTTGATTTGTTGATTTTATGTATAGTTTTTTTGATTTCTATTTGGTTTATCTCCTCCCTTGTTTTGATGATTTCTTGTTTCCTATTGTGTGTGGGACTCTTCTGCTGCTGTTTTTCCAGATCCTGGAGGTGTGAGGTTAGTTCCTGTATTTGGCGTCTTTCTTGGGCCTTGACATGGGCTCCGATTGCGATGAATCTACCTCGTAGCACTGCTTTGGCGGTGTCCCACAAGTTTTGGAATGTTGTATCAGAGTTTTCATTGGTTTCCATAAATTTTTTGATCTCATCTTTAATTTCTTCTCTGACCCATTGTTCGTTTAATAGCATATTGTTCAATTTCCAAGAGTGCCTATACTTCCTGGGGAGTTTTGAGTTGTTGATTTCCAGTTTCATCCCATGGTGGTCTGAGAGGGTACATGGTATGATACTAATGTTTTGGAAGTTGTTTAGATTCGCTTTATGTCCTATCATGTGGTCGATTCTGGAGAAGGTGCCATGCACCGCTGAGAAGAAGGTATAGTCTGTGGCCTTAGGATAAAAAGTTCTATATATGTCTACTAAGTCCAGTTGTTCTATTGTTTGTGTGAGCTCTGTTGTTTCTTTGTTGAGTTTTTGTTTCGTAGACCGGTCCATTGTTGTTAGAGGTGTGTTGAGATCGCCTACAAGAATTGTGCGGGTGTCTATGTCTTCCCTTAAGTCTGTAAGTAATTGCTTTACATAAGTAGGTGCATTAAGATTCGGTGCATAAACATTAATGATGGTGATTGCTTCTTGATGGATCATTCCTTTCACCAGTATAAAATGGCCTTCCCTGTCTCTTTTGATGTTGGTTAGAATGAAATCTATCTCGTCTGAAATTAGGATAGCTACCCCAGCTTTTTTTTCTCGTCTATTGGCGTGAAATATCTTTTTCCATCCCTTCACTTTCAGTTTCTTTGCATCCTTTCTGGTTAGATGCGTTTCTTGTAGGCAACAGATGGTTGGGTCTTGTTTGATGATCCATTCTATTAATCTCTGTCTTTTGATTGGTGAATTTAGACCATTTGTGTTGAGAGTTAAAATTGAGAGGTTGCAATTTTGCCCTGCCATGTGATTGTGTTGTGTGTGTGTTGTTGCCTATGTAATTGTCTTGTTGGTGCGGCCTTTAGTTTGGAGACCTTCTTATTTGCCAACTTTGTTTGTGATTTGCCTCCTTTTTGTCCGGGACTAGCGCATTTCTAAGGAGACTTTGCAGAGCTGGTTTTGTGTAGACATATTCTTCTAGTTTTTCTTTGCTATTGAAGTATCTGATTTCGTTCTCATATACAAATGAGATCTTTGCTGGGTAGATTATTTTTGGTTGACAGTTGTTTTGTTTCAGGACTTGGAAGATCTTTGTCCATTCTCTCCTTGCTTGTAGGGTCTCTTCGGAGAAGTCAGCAGTGATTCTGATGGGTTTTCCCCTGTATGTGATCTTTTCTCTACTTCGTACTTGTCTCAGGATTCCTTCTTTGTCTTCATTGGAGTAGAACTTGAGCACCGTGTGTCTGGGTGAAGATCTCTTTGGATCATGTCTGTTGGGAGTTCTCTGTCCATCCTGTATGCGGGGTGGATTCGTGTTCCAAGTGTTTTGGAAGTTTTCCTGTATAATTTCATCGAGCACTGCTTGCATCCCAGATTCTCTTTCTACTCCCTCGGGGAGGCCGATGATCCGAATATTCAATTTTCTAAGGTAATCCTTCATCTCTTGCATCATTTTATTAGTTTTGCTGAGGTTTGTCTCCAGCTGTTTAATTCGCTGGGCACTTTCATTTTGTGTGTCTTCTGTTTCAGAGATCCTTTCCTCTGCCGCATTTATTCTGTTGATGAGGCTTTCAATCTTATTATCTTGGGCATCCAGTTTGGTTTTGATTTGTTGTATTTCGGTGATTATACGGTTCTGGAAGTCTTCCAGCTTTGTGTCCACGTCTCTGAGAGATTTTAGCATTATTTTCATCAATTCCTTTGTTGGTAACACTTCCATGTCTTCATCTCGTATCGTCGATATTGATAATGGCTTTTGGCCCTTGTTTGGTGGGGTGCTGGCTCTTTCATCTGGAGCACAACTCTTTCTGGTGGTTTTTCCCATTGCGTTGGTGTATTCTGGTGAGGCAAATGGACCCGTGTGTTGAGGGGCTGTCAGGTGCTTTCCTGTAGAGATTGGAGCCTGTAGGCGTGGTGTTGCCGGGCGTGGTAATTTTCAAGGCACCGTTGGTGCGTTCTCAGGGCCCGGGGCTGTAGAGCACCACCTTGGGGGCCCAGTGGATTCCAGGCACACTCTGGGCACCTCTTCTACAGGTGTGACACCCCAGGGCGTGGCGGGATGGAGGCGCTCTCTGGGTGTGCTCCCTTCACGGGAATCCGCAGTGCGTAGAAGGTTTTATGTGCTTTCTCCCTGCGTTCTCCGTGTCAGGGACTGCAGGGTTTTTCAGAGCCCACCTGGTGCGTCTCCCACACACGGGACTGTGGGTGAGGCACTTTGCAGGCGTGGCTCTTGTGCAGTGAATCCACCACTCGTGGTGTGTGGGTGTTCAGAGCCCCTGCTCCCGTGTGGCTCCCCCACACAGGCCCTTAGCGGAGGAGTGGCCCGGGCGCCCTGTTATAATGACTTCACGGCGGCAGGTTCGCACCGTGTCAGTTTGTTGCAGGAGTTCTCCTGACACCTGAACCTGCGCTACGGAGGTGCTGCTGCTGCAGGCGGGGCGCCCAGCCCGCTCGGTGCGGCGATCAGAGTCCTGGTGGTTTCAAGCACTCACCAGGCAGGATGTGGGGGACTCCAGACCCTCGCCAGCTACCTCTGCGCACCGAGCCGCACTGGTCCCCTCAGCGCAGGGACATCCGATGCGCCTTCCCGGGGCCCCCTCAGCCAGTACTATTAATTGCAAAAATTAAAAGAAATAGTTCATTATATATACTATTTTTGCTAGTTAATTACGAAGAGGCAACTCATTTAACAGTTTAGCTTGTTTGCTGCCTTTCTATAACTTTCGTTTGTAGATGAGGAAAACAATATTGTTAAACAAACATCAATATAATCCAGTTCCAGGAGCCCAGCAATTTCAGGAGTCAGTACTAGCCAACAAACCAAACTTGTTTTGGGGAAGTGCAAGTACAGTCATAATACCAAGTCACTCAGAATAGCTAAGGAAGTCAATGGTGCTCAGCCAAAAAGACAAGGTTAATAATCCATGCAGCAACAACATGCAAACACTGAAAGTGATGTCATATGCTTCCGGGAGCTGATTGTTCAGGCTTATTTCTCAGGCTGGAAATACATTATATGTAGTCAGGCTGAACTTAGGACAAATGAGTTTAGAGATGTCATGAAAGGGAGTGTTGTTAAGAGCAATAACTGGAATAGAGGGAGTATAAAGTTTTGTTTAATCCCGTAGATTAAGTCTTGCACATAAAAAAATATAAACTTCCAATACAATTTTGTGAGACAAGATTATACATAAGCATAAATGACTTTTTTGTTACATATTTAAAACTTACCATTTAAGACTTTCTTTCCTTCATGAGAGTCTGCATAAAGAATTAGGGGAAAAAAAGACAGCTAAAAACACACAATTTCAAAGAGAACATCAGTATATATGATTGACTTAAACATGCAAGTCTTTCTTTTTCAAGAGCTTTCTGTCAAGCTAAAGTAGAAAAGTCAGGTGTGTAACCAGGCACTTTGTTTTCAAAACAAAGTTTCAGGGCTGTAGCTGTGGTACAGATGACTAAGCCTCTACCAGAAGTGTCACAAAGCCATACGGGCGCTGGCTAAGTCTCAGCTGCTCCACTTCTAATCCAGTTCCCTGCTAAGGAATCTGGGAAAGCAGCGGCAGTTGGTCCAAGCACTTGGGGCCTGGTTGGTGAAGATGAAGCCCCTAGTTCCTGGTTTCAGCCTGGCTCAACCCAGCAGTTGCGATCTGGGGAATGACCCAGCAGATAGAAGATTTCCACCTCTCTCTGTAATCCTGGATATTTCATCTCTGGATAATATCAGATCATTCCTGCTGAGGTCTGCTTGTTATTTTGTAGGAATTCTACTTAATTGGTCACTTTTTTCTAAGATCTTGGCTAATTTATTTGGAAAGGATATAAATCCCAAGTTTTATTTAGTTATGTTCTAAATTAATCAAAATTTCAATTTCATAATTGAAATATAGCTATAAATAACCCAAACCAATATCTCCTAAATTGTTCTCTTTTACTGATGTCAGGGTTTAAAATGATCATTGTTTTTACAACTTTAAGTGGCAGAAATGATGACCATATGTCAAGACTTTTACATGAATACAAAATTGAAATTAGCAAGTATTTTTTTTTCATGATAACAACTAATCTACAGGTATAGCATACTAACTGTAAATGCTATAAACCTTTCTAGTACTGGAAAAAAAAAACCTCAGCAAATATCAGTTTTTAAAATACAAGAGGATAAGCTTTCACAAGGTATCCAAGTTGACTAATTGAAAGCCATTACTCATTTCATTTTATTTTATAGTAAAAGCAGCGTAAATATTTAAATCAAAACTTTCAAAATTATATTCTAATTTTTAGTCATCTCAAATTCTATAATTAACTACATTACACTCAACCTTTGCAAAATGCCATGATTAAGAACGCAAAAATCTTGTTTTCTTCATTTTATCAAAATAATTTTGTAGCTGAGAAGGATCCTAACAATGTAAGGCAAGTCACCTCCCTCTCTTATTTAAGACTGAAGAGTCAGAGGTCAAGGTTATGAAACCCACAATTTTTTAGCAGCAGAACCAAGGTTAGATTTTTTTCTCTTCTGAAACTCAGGCCCCATTTGTTTAACATACCACTGCTAGACTTAAGACTTTGCAAAAACATACAAGATTTTTAAAAAATTTAAATTCTACCTCAAAATGAGCTTTGTCAATTGCCAGGTAAAAATTCAGTTATTACAGTTGGCCAGGGATTACTCCTGTCCCTGATGGCTTACTTACTTTCATCTTCAGTCTTATCTATCTTTGCTATTGCAGTTGTGATTATTTATTTTATCTTAGAACAAAGAAAGTTTTTGATAGAATCTTAAGTAAATTACAGCTATTTTCAATGTAAGACATAGCTGGCAGTTTTATAAATCTCATTTAGTATGTGAAACAATTTGTTTACATCTAAGAGGCTCAAAAATTTTAAAGAAACATGCTAGGTAATTTGTTTCTAGAAGGAACATATATTATCTCATAAGCTATGAAGTGAATTCATTTGAATCTGTCATCATTTTTTAGATTCTGCTAAATTTTAGTAATTTGTTTTCAAAGTCGTTTCTTGTTGTCATTTATTCCAAGATTTGCCAGCAGAAAGAACATCTGTGATCTGCATTACTTTTAAAAACTACTAGCTCATCTTTACAATTATTTTCAAAAACTAAGTCACAGAGCTGATGGAAAATGCCTTACTCCCTGGAAAACAAATCTGATATTCTCTTTTGACAACTAGTGAATAATTTTGACAACTTATTGGCTCTAGGGCCAAAGAGTATTTCTCGTTACTCTCCTAAGAAGCTCTACTTATGGCAAGGTCAAAGTCATTGAGAAAGCTCACATTCTAATCTAATAGTACTGCTCTTCCTTGGTTTGAGGGCTGGGTTAAGAATTCTTAATTACAGAAGTAAATCATAAAGACCCCAGGGGGAAACAAAAAAAAGCCCTATTTTGTCAATATGCAAAATTTATTCATCATTTTTTTTAAAGATTTATTTTTATTATTTTTTTATTGGAAAGGCGGATATTCAGAGAGGAGAGACAGAGAGGAAGATCTTCCGTCCTATGATTCACTCCCCAAGTGACTGCAATGGCCGATACCATGCCGATCCAAAGCCAGGAGACTCTTCTGGGCCTCCCACGCGGGTGCAGGGTCCCAAAGCCTTGGGCTGTCCTCGACTGCTTTCCCGGGCCACAGGCAGGGAGCTGGAAGGGAAGCGGGGCTGCTGGGATAGAACTGGTTCCCATATGGGATCCCGGGCATGCAAGGTGAGGACTTAACCACTTGCGCCACCGCGCTGGGCCCTATTCATCATTTTTGTAGCAGGACAATTGATTGGATCTGCAGGCCAACTTTACAAAACAAAAATAGGGTTATTTCCAGGCAGAAGTGCAGGAACTCTCATAGTCTCAGTCAACTCCCACTGGCTATTGATTCATAAATTCCTCAAACCCTCCTCCCTTATACCTCTGTGACCCTCTCAGTCTTTAAAAGTCTGATGCTATTAATAAACTCCAGTTACTGATCATCAATCAGCAGTCCACACGGATCATTATCGACTCCGTGTACCAAGTCCATTGCTGCTGGACAGAGAACACACCTTAAAAGAATACTAACATAGTACAATACAATTTGGATAACAAGGTAGGATGATATATTCAGCTTGCCTATTCATAAAAATAAATCGGACAGATTCATAACAATAATAATAATAATGTGGTTACCCTATAAATTTATGGGGGGGAGGATAGATGAGAGATAGAGGTGTGAAAAGGGCACTTGTTAAGAATGTTTATTTCATAATGAGAAAGAAAAGTTGATCTAGCTGTTGCTTCACCTATCAAAGCCTGTATCTGCCAGGGCTGGGTCAGATCAAAGGGAACAGCCTAGAACTCCATCCAGGTCTCCCAAGCAAGTGGCAAAGCTCCCAAAATTTGAGCCATCAGCTGCTGCCTCCTAGGGTGTACATTAGCAACAAGCTGCATAAAAAGTGGAGATCAGTACTGTGAGTGGAATATGGACATTCCAAGTAAAGAGTTAATCCACTGTATCACAATACTTGCCCCCAAAAGGGTGCCTTCTGAATCATGAGAATGTTACTACTTTTTTTTAAAATACACTAAATTAAAATGTCTACAGGCTCTTGCTATAGACATTATGTGACCAATGCTGTAAAAGAGATTCATGTATGTAGAAAGTGTTAAGCACAAAAGGGTAGCATATCTGCTTGGAAGGAAATCAAAAGAGCATCACTAAGAAGTGATACTTCTGCTACGTTTTATATAAGCATTTGTCAGGAAGTTTTGAAGAAAAGCATTCTAGGATGAAAAGTGATGAGAATTTATACTTGAATGATTTACAGTGATCTTGTAGTTATATTTCTCCCTTTCTCATTCCAAAATGTTGGTATCATGTGTCCAGCAATTTGACCTAAGATCTTGTTCACAACAATCAAATCTACTCCATGTTCTCTTGACCATACAAGCCTTGCCAGAAGATGCCTTTGCTTTGTACAATGTGTCAAATAACCATTTCTCTCTAAAGATTTGTCTCACCTTTCACTGGAATGACAGTAACGGGGGGGGGGGGGAGGGAAGGAGGGAAAGGAAGAAACAGAGAGAGAGAATGTTTCATCTATTGGTTCACTCCTCAAATGGCTGTAATAGCCAGACATAGGCCAGACCAAATTCAGGAGGAGTCAAGAACTCCATCTTTGGCCCCCATATGCCTCTAATGCCCTGCCAGGCACATTAGTAAGGAACTGATCAGAGAAAACAGAACAATGGGACTCAAACTGGCATTCCAAGATGGGATTTATGAAGTCTCCATCTTATCTTGCTACATCACAGCACCAGCCCTATGTCTTATTTTTTTTCTACTCTTGTTTCTAATCATCTTCTGAATCTTTTCAAGTTTTCAAACATCTCTCAAACTTCAAAGGCTTGAAAATATTTCTATCCTAGAAGCAGCCTACTGGCAGAATTTAAATGAAGATTTAATAATAGTTCAAAGACATGCTCTGTAAAATCCCAGGATTAAAAAGCTTTACAAGCCCCAGAGTACATACTTACTTATTCCAGAATGTTCCCCCATTATGCATTTAGTTAATACCACATATATTGCATTGTTAGAAGTTCAAGTTTTTAAATAGTTATTTCTATCATTGTTTATTCAATTCTCCAATTTACTATCACTGTCCAGTTCCTGTCCTAGCCCAAGAGGGACTAAATCCTTTCCTCCTTTGGAATGAATATGAATGCGTGTGTTCAAAAATCATCTTTCTGGGCCTGGTGCAATGACACAAGTGGCTAAATCCTCGCTTTGCATGAGATGACATCCCATATAGGTGTCAGTTTGTGTCCCAGCTGCTCCACTTCCTTTCCAGCTCCCTGCTTGTTGCTTGGGAAAGCAATAGAGAATGGGACTCTACTCCCACTTGGGAGACTCAGAAGAAGCTCTTGGTTCCTGGTTTCAGAGAGGCTCAGCTCCAGCTATCACGGCCACTAGGGGAGGGAACCAGCAACTGGAAGATCTTTCTCTCTGTCCCACCTTTTCTCTGTAAATAGGTCATTCCAGTAAAAATAAAGATGACTCTTTAAAAACAAAAAACCAAAAATCATCTTTCTCTGAAATAAAATAAATGCTAACCTAACAAAACTCCCACCATCATACAACAAGAAACACTTCTTCAGGCATTCATCTGTTCTCTAATCAGGGACTTTTCATTTTCAATTATCTTACCTTAAATCACCTTTGCAATGGACCCTATATCAGCAAACATACATCAAAACAGCAAGACTAGGATAACAAATTTGCTTATTTGGTCTCACTTCACTATGTTCCCCTGTCACCCATAAATAGATTTGTTGCTTCTCCTTCCCACTAGTTAGCCTCTGGGCTTATGATTTGCCCACCTGAATTGTCTCCATTTACTAATCAGGAAACAGAACTTTGCCTGCCTCTACAAAACTTTGTGCTCACAGTGCTGTGACATTAACAGAAATCATGACTAAACTAATACCACCGCTACCTATGAATACTGTTATCTATGCATCCACAAAGCTGTTCGCTGTGTACATACCAGTTTTACATGTATGGGCCACTACCATCAAGTTTTAACAATGAGAGATTGGTTTCCTTATTTCAGCACTGCCAAGATGCTGGGCTAGATAATTCCTTGTTCTGGATTATGTTTAATTATTCAGCAGCATCTCTGATCTCGATCCATCAGAATGTCAGTGGTGCCCTGTTTTCTTAGGACAACCAAATGTCTGCAGTTAATCCTAAATGTCCCCTGAGAAACATAATCAACATCTGTTAAGAACCACTGGCATACACCAAAGGAAAATAAATCATTAAACAGTAGGGAACATTAGTGAGCCTTACAAAAGCAGGCTCCTAGGATTTCTTTGCTTTAGTGGAGTTCTACAATTAAATAACTCTGCATCTTATATGTTATGTTTACCTAAAAGCCTCAGTAGCTTCTTGCTGATAGAGGGAGTTATAATAGCTCTAAGACCCTCTCCCAACTCTAATATTCTATTAACCTATGATTCTAAGTGCTTTACAGTTATTAAATGCTAGAAATAAGACATAAAATCTAGTAACATAAGGAACAGAAAGTATAATAGGCAAAAAAAATTAAAAAGAAATATTACTGAAACTAAAATTTGCCATTAGAAAATATGACTTAACATATTATGATCTAGAACAGTGCTGTCCGAAAGAAATTTAATGCAAGCCATAGTGCATACTTAAATTTTCTAATTAGCCAGACTGGCAAGGCACAACAAATGTTTAATTAGATTTTTACGCATATATGTGGAATAATCTCTTTCCAACACACAATCAATAGAACAATTATGAGACATTTTGTATTTTTTTAAACTGAGTTTTGAAGTCCAATCTATTTTACACTTCCAGCATGCATATCTCAACTTGTACTAGGCACATTTCTTGTGCTCATGAGCCACATGAAACTTATTAGTAGCTACAACAGTCACAGACTATGGGCTTTTTTCGTTTTTATTGAAGAATGAAATGTTTCATGTATGCATACTATCAGTCATTAAAATTTATCTTTAATCCATCACTGATGAATCTTTCTAAAACATAACACGAACCATAACATCTTTAAATAAAGGATTCAAACAAACATAACTGATTCTTTGCTTAATAACGATACACTGGTATTATTTTTTCTATTATGAGTTTTGTTAACTTGCCCATTTTCTTCCTAAATATCCAAGTATTTCACCACTGCCTCACTGAAAATCACTAAATTGATAATTAAGCCTCTTTATCTGTTCACGTATCAGTCCTGGACTCCATCTGCACTTGCAGTATGGCAATTATCTCACCTAAAAAGGGCAACAATATTGAAAAGAGCTCATGTGTAAACACTGCATAGCTAATAGCTATGGAGAGAGTTCAAATTCAGACCTGTGCTACTTCATTCTGCTGACCAAGCCTCCGGCTTTGACAAAACCTTATATTACAAAACTCAATGAAGTAAGTAATGGATGATTCTGGTTGAATCAACAAATTTCATCCAAATCTCAGAGTCAAGTCAGGGAGTTACTCAAAAGAAATGCTTATCACTCATTCATAGAAAAGTGTTACACAAAATATTAGTAGTACTCCAATTCCATGCCTAAAATTCAATATGGCTGCTCTTCTGAAAGCGGGTCAGGAAGTAGAGATGACCTTGAATACAACGCAGACTGAAGAGCCCCATCTCAGATAAAAGCAGAAAACATGGAATATATTTAAAAGAAGTTTAAAATGAGAATGGGGTTATTACAGTGAGAGAACATGAAGCGGATGAGATCTTTAAAAGCAAACGTGAGACAAAGCTGAGACAGCAAATTATTATGTATTTTTTATATATTCTGATTTCTAGATAGTGTGACTATTATTATTTAAGCAAAAATAATCTCTAAAAGCTCATCTAAAAATCAACTGTATCACAATAATCAAGTAATTAATTTGTCTATACAACAGGTAAATAACTAAAGAAAATTAAAAAAACAATGAAGTGTTTACTTCTAAAATAATTAAGCATCATACCCTATGAATTTTTCCTACAAAATATATCAGTTGTTTTAATGTAAGTCTCCATACAAAATGAAGTAAATGTTTTAGAGTGGCTAGATCAGGAGGTCAATAAGAGTGAGAAAAACATTGAAGTCTATTTGTTGAAATACAAGTTTAAAAATAAGTACTACACATACATTATACATCAATGCTGGTTACGTGCCAGCTTTACTTACCTTTCAGAATGGCAGGTTTAATTGCCATTCTGCCAACCAGGCATTCTTTCAGCATAGATTCATAATTAACCCAACGATGAACCTAGCATGGGAAAAAAATGGGGAAAAAAAGCAATGTTAAGTCTAACTCAGTGGGGATCTTCTCATTTTATTATGACCAAAACTAAACCTTTGTAAATCATTCTATACACCTAAAAACTACAAAAGATTCAATTAATCAAAGGAGTGACACAAAGGCAGCAAAAACAGGAATTGTTTATACAGTGTTTTCTAAGTTTTATCTACAGGCCTCTACTAGTTTCTGAGGTTGTGGATATCGATGAGATTTCTATTAGCTTCATGAAAATATTAAAATGTTGTGTACGCTTGTCAATGTTTTGACATTTGCACTGGTATTATAAAGGCAGTGGTGGGCAACATGCCATCCTCTTAGTACTAACTATGGCAAAGGATCCAAACTATTTTTGTAACCATATTGATTTGGGACTGATATTTAAGAATATCCTCCAAGAAGTAGAAAAGGTGTTTATTTACTTAAAGCTGGACCACAGAGTACTAATCCTTAGATTTAATGTGAGTGTGATAAACCAAGAAGTTCTTAAAAACACTTTCAACATAAAGCATGATAATCACCCTGAATTTAGGCAATCATTTGATCAGTAAAACAAAGCATGCTTTTTTTTTTAAATGAAAGCCCATTTACGCATGGAAGAATGCCAAATAAATTATTTAACACTATTTGAGTATTTAGCAGACATTTTCTTAAAAATAAATGAAATGCGACTACTACTTCAAGGAAAACATTGGCAGCATTTGTTGCTAGAGGTACTATTGGTGGGGATCAAATTTAAACAACCTTATGGAGGGTACTTTTTCCATATACACTAAAACCCTCAAAATATGCTCTTTTTCACTCAGATACTTAGGAATATATCTGAAAAAGAATTGGAATTAACTGTAAAAAAGAGTAAAGGAAAATCATAGTACATTATCCAATATTACACTATACAACTATTAAAATAACTTGGTCAAATAACACTGATAACACAAACTATGGTATGCTCTTCAGTAACTAAATATTAAAATAACACATAAAAGGGTACATATAAATTGGTACTTCCTTACTTACATAAACTGCATTTAACAAATACCTATGGAGCATCTACTAATGCCTAAAGCACTACCTTTGGAGTCAGGGTTCCCCATAGCCGTGGACTGGGTAGAATTTAAACAGATAAAAGAGAATGATATTCAAAGAGGGAAAGGTATGAGATCTGTCAATTACATTAGCAATGAAAAATGGCAGGCACTTCAATTTGCTTAAAACATGCAGTTTCGAATATCTGTCCTGACATACTCTTTAGGGCCTCAAATACCTATCTACTGCCTGTAAGCGGTTAGTCACTGAAGAGCTCAAGAGCAAGGTACTGAGACAATTGTCACATTATCCAAATTAGTACTATAAGCAATATTAGTAGGACAGCATTAAAAAAAAAAAAGGACTAGAATGGGTGTTGATGACTTCAACTAAGGCAATGGGAAGGGGAAAAATGGTTTTAACAAGAGCATAGGATTTCTATTAGCTTCATGAAAATATTAAATCCATAGGCCAGATACTGGGGTACAATGACAGAAGGTAAAAGTTCTCCGTAGCTTCAAGTCCCTGTTGCCCTATCAAGAAACAGATGATATTATTACCAGAAACAGGGAAAAATATGAGATATTATCTAGGAACACATGCAGCTGAAATGCCAATGGATCATCAAAATGATCAACAGAAATACAATAAATCAGCGGTGAGAACAAAACTGGAGACAGAAATAAGACAATACAAATCTCACTTAATATTCTTCGTACAACTGAAATTCTGGGCGTAAGTAAACAAATTCTCACAAGAAAAGATTAAAGAAGCCTTATTATGTTTTACAGAATATAACCTTGTCCATTTTCATACTGGTAGAAACTTGTAAATAAATTAAACTTTAACGATCTTTTTAAAGTCAAAGAGAATGAAGCAGTATGGTAACCAAAGTACTGTTTTAACTGCTAAGTGGAACAATCAAAACAAAAACACAGTGATCCTTGTGCCTTCTCAAAAACAAGCTTTCCTTAAATGAAGTCTACATCACCTCATAACACTGAGAAATACAAGCAATACTAGACTTACCTGGAAGTTTTTCCTGTACATGAAGACGTTAGTGGGCAGATAAAAAAGTATGGCCGATAACATTTTAGACAAATAGTCCTAATCCTTCCTATTCTGCTTGTACTGCTAAATAATAAAAACAGCAAATGACAATGGGAACTTGCCTTATAATAGCAATAGCAATAAGAACTTCCCAGGAAGAATGCTATCAAACATGATTTCTCTCCAATCCAGGAAGAACAGTAATAATAAACTAGGTTCTGCCAGACAAGTAATTGCATGTAAGTACTTCTAAACATAAAACAAATTATGTTTCTGTAATTCTGGCCAAAAAAAACCAAACCCAAGGTGGATGAAAAAGAAGGGGGAAGAGATTAAATTACATTTTATAAGAAAAAATATATAGGGCCCAGCGCGATGGTGTAGTGGTTAAAATCCTCGCCTTGCATGCCCGGGATCCCATATGGGCAACCGGTTCTAATCCCAGCAGCCCTGCTTCCCATCCAGCTCCCTGCCTGTGGCCTGGGAAAGCAGTCGAGGACGGCCCAAAGCTTTGGGACCCTGGGACCCGCGTGGGAGACCCGGAAGAGCCTCCTGGCTTTGGATCGGCGCAGCACTGGCCACTGCACTCACTTGGGGAGTGAATCATAGGACGGAAGATCTTCCTCTCTGTCTATCCTCTCTGTAAATCCGCCTTTCCAATAAAAATAAAATAAATCTTAAAAAAAAAAAGAAAAAATATATAGAACAATCTGCCTCAGGTAACTTAATGAAAAAAAAAAAAAACCTACAACATGGTTAATCATCATTAAATACCAGAAAAGAAAACCACCAAAATTTTTTTATACTAAATTCATTTCTATTCTTCTAAATAATGCCATCGCAGCAATTAACATATGTAATGGCTTCTAAACAGTACAAGAACTAAAGCCTGCTTTCAGTAAATAAAAGGGGAAATGTGAGATACACAGAATTTCCATTATCACCTGAGGAAAAATAAATTTTCCATTTATCAGTCAATCTCATCTAACTTCTACTTACCAGGCAGATTCAGCACATTGAAGAAACTGAATAAATATTTCCAAATGAGAAAAGACTAAGAGCAGAGAATTAAGCAACTTATTTAAAGTGATTAAGTCTCTCAATGTTCCTTCCAATCATCACTGCCTTTCATAAGTCAATCATCCTCATTATGAAAATCAATCAAGACTGAGTCAACAGTGACCAGCAGAGGAAGCAGTAAGCACTGCCAGATTCAGTATCATCTCTAAAATTCTAAAACAATTCAAAGGCAAATTAAGCAGCTGCTACTAGTGAACATCTGCCTACTTCTCAAATTTACGCCAACACATAATAAAATCTATTATTTTTTTTCTATAAATGTCATACTGCCAAATCTAAGAGTACTCTTCCATTGTAATTTTTTGATTAATTTCACGACCTTACCTGATCAAAAAGGTCAGTACCATCGGATCCTGCTGCTCTCATTAGCTCATCTTCTCCACCAGGATGATATTCCATGTACGGGCTGACATTGTAAACAAATCCTATATCAAAGCAATGAAAGCCAATATCCTAAGTGAGCTTTAAAGATTATAAAAGCTGCAAGTTTCCTTAAAAACACTCTATTCAACAAATTGTTTCAAAATATCAAGAATAGTAAACAGACTTAGATTTCATTATACAAGTTAACTTACCAGAATGATGGGTTCTGGTAGACAACACAAGCCTACCAGGTTAGAGTCAGAATAGTTTAGAACTCACATCAGTTGTTATATTAGGGTAGGGTTCCTTATACTCTAATCCACAGAGCTATGTGAAGAGGGCTGGACAGCGCCTGTACACTCAATGTACTGCACTACAGGACAGGAATTTTGAATTTAGTAAATCTAAATTGTCTAAAATGAGCATTCATTTTGGAGGGAGACACATTAAGTAAAAAAAAGTTATGAACCAATAGACATAATCTCAAATTGATGTTAAGCTATTATCAAATTCTGCAAAATTGAAATTTTAATAGAAACAGGAACCAAGATGGAATTCTTGAAACACCAATCTTGAACGATACAGAATTAGATTGGGACCAAGGCCTTCTGTTCACAACTCAATAGATGCTTTCAGGCCATGTGCAGGGTGATCTTCACTGATAGAGGATTTAGGGAAGATGTCATCTACCTGTCTGGCCATCCATCCAAGTATCTGCCAGCCCTTCCTTCCAACCAATCATCCATCCATCCATCCATCCATCCATCCATCCATCCATCCATCCATCCATCGCTCTCTTCCTTTATGTTAATATCTTATTTTAGTGTTTTGTTTTCTAAACTTTAATAACGAATAAACTCACACAAACACAAAAGATTTCCTGCATTAAGGAAAGTAACTAATTAAAATTAAAACTCAGCAGTTGCTTTACAAAGATATAGTCCAACATTTGAATAAACATTTTAAAATATCTTGGCAATACTGAAGGATACACTGTGCAGTTAAAATACATTCAAAATAACAGGGACACTGAGTTTTTTAGTCAAAGTACTAGTAACAGAGACACTGAGTTTTGTTAGTCAAAGTACTAGTACTACCTGTTCTAATACCTTCTCACACTAAATTGTTTTGTGCTACGAACTTCAAATTCTGAGCTCTCAAGCCAATTCTTGGTATCAAAAGTGTCCATTTTATAATTACATTTAGTACATTGCACTGTCAAAATGAATACTTAATTTCAATCACAGAATAACAGTTTTAATACTGGGAGAATTACAAAAGCAATTTAATAATAAACAGAACCATTCTTCATGTAGCATTCGTTTCCTGCTAGTGCACCACAGGAAGCAGGAGATGATCGTTCAAAATTTTGGTCTCTCAGACTCATCCTGACCAAGCACTTACGGAGTAAAACGGGTGACAGAACATCTCTTTCTTCCTCTCTCTCTCTCTCTAACTTTGCTTTTAAGTAATTGAAAGGTGCCAAAGCTTGGCCAGCAGTGATGTTCAACCTGTTCCACTTTCCATCCTCTAACTTGACACTCAACTTTCTCTGCTGGCCTAGATCATCTAACTGTTAAGTCCCCTGTGTGCATCTGGCTATACTGTCAACTGCACTGGCATTCACAGCTGAGGAGACCCAGTCCATCTGCACTCCAAGGCTGGGGCACACGCCCTGTGATTTTCCCTGTGGCCAGAGACTGAGTCCAGTTGCTGGGGAGTCCCCCAAGAAACCTCACCTGGGGTGCTCCAGCTAGCGCAGGGTTCAGTTCAGTCTGTCACCTACATCAGGCTATGCACTGGTGAATGCAGTTACCTTTTCAGTTCTGCCCCTAGCCCTGGCTCCCATGCAAACTGATGGGTGCTGCAACTTAACAAGCATCTGGCAATGTGAATGCACTAAGGTGGACTTTGTCAAACAATAGCTCTTGATTTTCTCAGCTTTGGAGCAATGAAACCAAGAATGCCTCAGAACTGTAAAACCACTCAATAACACCACTGGAATATTCTTCCTCATACTGGGCTCTCTAAGATGACATCAAATGACCACATCTCTATCCCCAGTAGTTTGGCAGCACAGAATCGCCCCTTCTTCCTCTCCCTCCCCGCCCCGCTCCAGCATACAGTAGAAAAATTAAAATTGGAAATATCTGTCCCACCCTTCTTCCTCCATACCTTGACTGTTCCCACCCCAATCAGTGGTCCACATGATTATATATCTTTTAAAAATAAAGATTTATTTTGCTTTATTGTAAAGTCAGATATAGAGAGGAGGAGACAGAATCATCTTCTGTCCGATGGTTCACTCCCCAAGTGACTGCAATGGCCAGACCTGAGTCAATCCAAAGCCAGGAGCCCGGAGTTCTTCCAGATCTCTCACGCGGGTGCAGAGTCCCAAGGCTTTGGGCTGTCCTCCACTGCTTTCCCAGGCCACAAGCAGGGAGCTGGATGGGAAGTGGGGCTGCCAGGATTAGAACCGGCGCCCATATGGGATCTTGGTGTGTGCAAGGCAAGGACTTTATGCGCTAGGCCACCACACTGGGCCCAGTTATATATCTTTCTCAACTATGTAAACAGCATTAAAAAAATAAAATAAATACTATATCTATATCTATCAGAATAAGTGGTATTTTGGGGGCTGGCCCTAAATGGGTTAAGCTTCTGTCTACAACACCAATAGTACACATGGGTACTAGTTTGAGTCCCAGATATTCCACTTCTGATCCAGCTCCCTGTTAATGTAACTAGCAGAGCAGCAGAGGATGGCCTAAGTGCTAGGGTGCCTGCAACTACCCGCGAGACACAGAAGAAGCACCTGGCTCCAGGATCCAGTCTAGGCCATCACAACAAATGTGGGCCTTGGGGGGGCAGAGCCAGCACAAGGAAGATCTCTTTCTTGATTTTCCCGTCTTTACATATAACTTTGACTTTCAAATAAATAATAAAATATATTTTTTAAAACAGTGTTTTGTAAATAGATTGAAAAATAATTTTATGTTTTAAAATACAAATAATTAACTTCAAAGTTCCACAACATATATTCATTCAACAACAAAAATTTTTAATTATTATTTTATGATACAGTTCCATAGGCTCTGGAATTCCACCTCCTCCCACTGACCTCCCTTCTAGTATTACAATGGGTAGTCCCTCACAAACAGTCACATGCCCATCATTCTGCTACTGGAGTGTTTCCTGACATTGTAGGCATGGACAATAGCAGAGAGTCCAGCATCCTACTGTCAGCATACAATTCAACTGTTTCACTGGGAGTCCATGGTTGGTCTGGATGCAGAGATACATACTGCACTATGTCTCCACATCAGGACAGGTCGGTATCTGCTATGCTTTTATAATACACTCCCTTAAATACAGGGCCAGAAAACACAATCTATAACAGGAAGAAAAACAGAAAACTTACATCAACATGAAAAACATCAACATGCTACAGAATGACCAATGCATCACTACAGGAATGGAAAAGAAAATCAAAAACCTTCTTGTAGAAAATGATGCTACTGTATTACTCTTGTGGCGCTGAAGAAATCATTAAGAAAAAAACAAAACTTTTTTTTTTGAAGAAATGACAATAAAAACAAGAATATCATTGCCTAGCCTATAAGATGTAGCAAAACAGTTCAACAAAAATTTCTAGTATATATGTTTCAAGTATTATGCCACTATACTGCAGTATTTTCTATTTACTTAAATTATTCACCAATGTTAATTTTATTGAAAAATGAGGGGGAAAATATGGCATATTTTAATGTATTCACTGAACAAATACATCTTTATGAGTACTGAGACTATTTTGCCACCTTGTGTTCAGTAAAGAAATTGCACATTTTTATCTGTTAACTAGATTTTTTTACTCTATTATTATTATTATTATTATTATTATAGATGATGTTTACATAGTTGATAAGGGTGGATAAGATCTAGGGTTAGAGAAAAACGGGTGTGATCATTATTTCCAAACTTTCTATTTCTTCTTCCCATTTCTGGGGGGAGAGGAGAGGTAAGGGGAGAGGCCATACCCAGCCTCCCACCATCCCAGTACCTGATATCAATCCAGGGTTACAATGTGGTGCACACTCCATTTTTATCTTTTAGCTAGTTCTAACTATTGCTATATGTGAATGTGATTACAAATGCCAACCCATCCTTCAATTCTATGAATCTTTGTTTCATAGATTGTAAAGCTTTTCTTTAAGTTATGAAGAATTTTCCTAATGAAATGAGTCTTTATAAGTATTATAAAGTGTCTTTGTCTGTAGTAAGAGTCTGAAATTTGTCTAGTAATATTTTTAAAAATCTTAGCATAATACAGTCCAAAGAGTAATGCTGCTTGGGTAGAACACATCTTTCCATAAATGTATTTATATTTTTGTAAGGTACATCTTTATAAACTTCATACAGTTAAGTCTCGGTAAAACAACATACATGCATGCACATGCGCGCACACACACACAACTTTTATCTTTTAATCAGAATACCTGATGTATTTATACTTAAAATTGTTATTGTGACTGAATTAAAATATACACCATTTTACTGTTTCCCATTCTCAAGTTTTGTATTTGGGTTTCAATTCCCCTTTCCTTGCCTTCTTTTGAATTAACCAAGTTTAGAATTTTTATTTTATTTATTAGATTGCATGTCTAATTTTTTGCATTATTTTTGAAGAATTCATCTACTATGCGTCCATGCTGCCCCTCTTTCATATGTAACACAAGGACATTTTAAAAAGGTCAGGGACATCTGTCCCTGGGGATATCACAAAAACAGTGAAAAAGCTCAGACCCTGGGGCTCAAGACAAAAGGCCTGCCTAAAATCCTAAATAAGCACTGATTCCTGTCCCAAAAACTCCTCTTCCAATCCAGCTCCTTGCTAATGGCCTAGGAAACCAAGAAGGTATGGCCCAAGTCTTGGGACCTTGTACCTACATGGGAAACTCAGAAGAATCTCCTGGCTCCCGGCTTCAGACTGGATCAGCTCCAGTCATTGAGGCCATTTAGGGGTGAACCAATGCATGCAATATCTCTCCTTCTCTATCACTTT